CAACTTCTACTCTATCACCAACTTCTGCTCCAGTAAAATATATTAGCAAAAGAAGACCTGACCGTCATACAAGATACTTCAAGGGGGGCGGATAATGGATAACACAATGCAGAAACGTACTCTTCAGGAAAGTTGCCAGTGTACCATCACTTATAGATTCACCCATAAAAGGGACAACAACATCGACCAGATCACCTTCACTACAGATGCATTAAATATATATAAATATTGATCATCAACAAGGAAGAGAATGATGAAAAGAACACTAATCTGGCCTTAGAACAGGTGCGACTACAAATTACACAGCTAATACTTAAGATAAGAGAACGAAGATATTGAGCTGCCTAACAGAAACCACCTTGTTTTATGATGCATTCTACCTTTCAAAGAAAGATGAGCTGAGACAGCTTTCAATCACCAGATTTAACACTCGCAATCTTCAAATATACTAATATGTATGTTCAAGATTTAAGAAGCCACATGACTAAAGGATTCAACTTAAGTAAAAGTTTAAATATTTGCCAGCGTACAGCATCTCACACACAAGTTTCTAATTTCTCTATTTGTTAACAAAAAAGTTCTAACGTAAAAGGCCATGGTAGAAAGAAAATGCCAATAAAAAAGATCATGCTATTAGAACAAAGTCATTAACATCAGTAAAAGAAATACAACTATCAGATGAAAACAGCCTGATTAGCATTTGCATACGGCCACCTGGCTGTAGCCTGGTCATAACATCCCCGCCAATAAACAGAGGTGTAATGAGAATAATCATATTGGCACCCTTCACTAGTCAACAAGGAACAAATATTCCGTACACTTATGTTATAACAAAGAAGAATCCTGACGAAATCAGATGCCAATGAACAAGCCTCTAAACAATATCCATATTCAATGAAGAGATGAAACTTACTATGAATGGCACCAATGATATCTCAATTTTTGCAGAAAACTATAGAAAATATATTCACTAACCTTATTGGCCTAGTATTAACTGCATTGCCTGTTTCAAATAACACATAAGCAAGAATTAAAGGCTAAATATATTATAATTGCATGCAGAAACCAGTTCTCCTGCTAGGACAAAATCAAAACTAGGAAGAAAATTACCAGGTTGCATAAGGTGACAAATACTTGGACAATTCCCAATAGTTCTTCGATGGAGTAATATCTATAGACATTAAAATATAAGTCACAGAAAATTGTCTATAGTCAAGGAATAAAATTGTTGGACATGTCATTCTTAAGTCATTAGTATTCCTTCAGAGGTTGGAAGTGGAAGAGCCCTTAGGAAGGGAACCACAATAAATCTTGCTAGGTTATTAAATATTATCCTCAAGACACCCGAGAATGCAAGGTGATTAAGGAAAAGTACATCGCTCAAGATTCATAAAAGGAAAGACGATATTCAATCCCAAGCATAAAAATCAGAAAGTGGAACTATGGAAAAAATATTAAGCACCTGTTGAGGTTTGAGTCTAAGGTGTCAGAAAATCATTTTGGTGATTCAGGGAGAAATATAAAAACGATTTCTGAAGTGATGTTTATTATCTAGAAAGGGTATATAGTAGCATGCCAAGGAAAATGATGTGTGAGAATAACTACAATGTAAGTGAACAAGATTTGAGAATTGCATGTGACACCAAGATAGATAGTTTCCTTATAGCCATAGCTTAACACCGTAGATCAGCATTGAGTCCCTATCTTGTTAGTTGTTATTTTGGTCATAACTCATAAACAAGCTCATGAAACACACAATATAACATCCCAAGGTCTATGCTTTTTTGCAAATGCTATATGTAAATTTAGTTATTTACTAGAACAGGGAAGGTGTTAATTACAAAGTCAGGAGCATTAAGCCAATAACCTAGGGAACATATTAACTACCAAAGTCAGATATTTGTAATGGAGCTTATTTGGTTCACAATGAAAAAATAACTTCCTTTGAAATAGAATTATAAAGCATGGATTGTGTGTTCCAAAAACACTAAACAATAAGTATGTATTTAAAAAGTACCTCTTCTCCAGAGGTGAAAGGAGGTATGACTGTAGATGCTACAGGCCGCAACTTACGACATGATTTTCCAACAATCTGTTCAAAAAATCAAATGAATACCAAGGGCTTAATAACTTTCCATGTTTATACAGTTATAGACCAAAATCTCTGTATGTGCATGACATATTACTAACTCCAAAGGGTTACATTGCACTTTTGAACTTTCTAGTAAGCACGTAATGGTAAGTGTTGTTAATAGTTCAATGTCATCAGTATTTGGTCTACAACCAATAATTTTTCTTCAACTTTCATCCCACTTAAAAATCTATGTAATTATGTTCAATGGAACAACATTATATAAAGTACAAATACAACATACAACATGAATCAAACAAAGAACAGACGTTTGAGAGTGAAATTAGGGCTTGTACCGAAGCAGAGCAGCTTCCGCTGACAACCTTTCGCCTTAGAGCACCAAACATCGTTGGCTTGATCCGTATACACTGCTTTCCACAACAATTTCAAAGAAAAAGAAGTGTGAAATGACGCTTACAGACTTCGAATACCAAATAAAAAAATCAACGCAAAATATGAAAAAAAAAAAAAAAACAAACAGAATTGGCAGTAAACAATGAATTGAAGCATGAAAACAGATATCGGAGAGTTGATTGTTTTACCAGAGTTGGAACCTGTCGATAGAACGGGACGCATAAGTATTTGGAAGGTTGTAGCACGCGTTAGTACATGGCGTTTTTATCATGTAAAGAGTATTTTTTGTTTTGTTTTGGTGTCATGGTTAGTGTTTACCGGGTAAATTGTTCCATACGATACCGTTTTAATGGACTAAAATCTTAGCGGATAAATAAGTGATTCTGTTAAATTTTACCAATAAACACTTACCGTTGGATAAACGGCCCTTAAATTACAAAAAAAATATCACGTTTTGTCGTTGGACAATTGATATTTGATATTACAGCAAATATCGTGTAGTTTTTATTTAGTTATGTTTTTTATTCATGGTCATGTCAGGCATTAAGTTATTGGATCTTATATTCTGGTTATTTGTATTTTTTTTATAAAATAATTTTTATTATAAAGTATAATGTATGTACAAATATATAAAACGCCACCATCACATACCAACACTTCGACACATTTTATGATATTAGATTTTTTTTTTAAAAGTGATAAGACTTTTCTAATGACAATTTTTTAAAACTTCTATCTGACTTTGCCATTAAGTAAGAGACTATGTTCAGTTGACGATTTCGTTTATCAAATGCTTAATGGAAAAGCTTGTTGGTAGGAGTACAATCCCGTGCTGGAAAAATTGCCGGAGCCACGTAGTGCCCAAATCGAATGAACGTGCGTCGACCAGTTCATCGACATCCACTCAAATCATGCTGTATTACCACAAGACTTCTAACCCGTGGCGTGCTGCTCGTTTCAATCTTCGATTTGACTGGCCGTGGGACTAAAACAAAGTCCTATAGCAAAAATTATGCATATTTAAGTGTTAACATCCATTTTTTTGCCAATACATCAAGGGGGTACCCTTGGGTTTTTCTCGTCCAGACTAACCATGCGAGATTGCCATAAATTTTTTTGTGGTCCATCTACAATGTTAATGATTTGGCCTTGTTATGCGAATTTTTCACACATATTAAATTGTCAAAGATTTGGCCTCATTGTGCGAATTTTGGTGCGTGTGCATGATTTCCTAAAAATCAACTTCATGACCATTTTCTACACGTTTTTGCAATTTGGATAAAATCAAATGTTAGTTTTTCCTATCTATAGTGAGTTACATACATAAACCTATATATATGTTTTATTCTGTGTGTTTGTGTGTGTAATCATTTGATCATTTGAACTCTGTCAATCCTCTTCCTTTCTTTATTGAAATTCTGCAGAAAACGTTCATAAGGAGATATGTGTTGTTGCTGAACATATCTATATGATTAGATAATTCTCGAGGGCGTATTAGTCTTTAACCCAAACAACCTTGATAGTGTGGCCTAATAATATCCTAAGGATAATAATCCTTCACGTTCTAGAAATTTGTTGTTCTACTTCTCTTTCTATTACCCTACTTTCTAACAATTGGAAGCTTAAGTACGTATTATGAATGTTGGTCATACATGTACATCACGTTTCTATGGTGTATGGACGTTTTTCTTTTCGTTGTTATGCACTTATTTCCATCTAATAATTATTATTTTTTATAAATAATTGAGTAAATTACAAATATGGACCACGGTTTTTTTGATGGAGTTTCAAAATTATATCAGATAACGTGAGGATATTTTGATCATTTATTTCTATAAAAAATGATTTTCATTGTTCAAATGCATAAAATATATGTGCAAGGGTGCAAAACACCGAAAAAAGAAATCCACACCCATCGGTGTTGGTCCTATCTGAAAAGATCAACAATCAGTCTTTTCAAAACTATTGCCTCGATCAAAAAAAATATATTCTTCACATAGACCATGTTTTTTTTTGGAATGGTATCTTACGCTATATCCAAACTAATCTTGACAAACTGTGACGGCAAAAAATTAGTTTTGATAAACTCAGTGGCTGCAACTGTTGTGTACGTCTAGGCCTCAATTATTACGCGACAACCATTGTGGTTCGCATAGACCATGTTTGTGGTCTTTCATTTTTTCTCTCAAGTAAAATATTCACTTTTGAGAAGGGTAAGAATGGATCTCCACCCTTAGATCAATTTTTATTGAAGATTAACACTAATGAGATACACCAGCTCAATTCTCATATCAAACGCAATTCATGGGATGAGGGTGATATTAAAAGTGATCAAGGTCCAAATTTTTTCTTATGCTTCTCATCTTTAACTCCTATTCCCACACGATCCATCGTCTATAATGTAAATGGTTATATCGACAACAAATCTCTTGAAGTATGACACATTCTATGATATATTATATATATATATTGATATTCATCATGCAAACATGCATTTTTTACACCAAATTGTACAGTTCAAACCATTTCATCTCTCATTATTTTGAGTTGATCACTGGGGTGTTAGTCCAATATTTTCAAGAGGAGTTGCAGGTTTTGGTGGCTTTTTTGAAAACATTGTGGGTTCTTGGTTCTTTGGTGGTGTTTTTGAATCCATTCCACCACCACCAAACATGGAGCCAAGTTTCCCAAAACTGCCACCTTTTTGTTCAAAACTCTCGTTATCATCATCAGGCTGTTGTGGCTTCGTGGTGACCCGTATAACCCCATCTGGATTCAAGGCCATCATCGCCACTGTCTCATACACCTGCCATCAAAATAAACGTTCAATTGCATCCTAATCTCAACCAACCATTAGAGGAGACCAAATTAACCAAAGTGGGTGATCATACAAGTGTGAGAATATGTGGAACCTCATAATACTCTTCAAAAGAACCCTTGAGGACAAAAGGGAGATTTCAACATATATACAAGATTGGTCCAAGTCTAGCCGATGTGGGACTCTGATAGATACAAGTTGTACCAGAGTGTTGAGAGGGGCTAGGTGAGTACAAATTGCCCCTGAGTGGTAGAAGAGGAGTAGGTTCCAACATATATACATGACAATTGGTCCAAGTCTAGTTGATGTGGGACTCTAACACGCCCCCTCCAATAGGGGCTAGATAGGCATAAGTTGTCCCCAAGCGCTGAAAGGGGGGTAGGCGAGTACAGATTGCCCTAGAGTGGTGAACCTTATCTCTGGTACCATGTGAAAATACATAGAACCTCCGGATTACTATCCAAAAGCCCTCGAGGAAATAAGAGAGGTTCCAACATATATACATGAGAATTGGTTCAACTCTAGCCGATGTGAGACTTTACCACTCCCCCTCCAATAGGGGGATAAGTTGTGCCCAAGTGTTGAGAGGGGGCTAGGTGAGTATAGATTGCCCCAGAGAAATAAACCTTAGCTCTGGTAGCATGTGAGAATATGTGGAACCCACAGATTACTCTACAAAAGAGCCCTTGAGGAGAGAAGGAAGTTCCAACATATATACATGAGAATTAGTTGTAGTTTAGCTGATGTGGAACTCTAGCAATAAGATTGATACCTGGCATATGTCATCAGCTTTCTCAATCCAACTTTTGGCTTGACAAGTAACAATGATGTAGTCTTTACACTCCTTGAACATCTTGTACATATTTTCATTACCGTAGATTCTTCCCTCGGCAATTGCACATCCACAACTCAGCTGAATCATTTACATTCACATCAATCATCAAATGGGTGCAAGTGAACATATATATATATATATGAAACAGGGGTAGGTTCCATTAGGAACCTAAAATTCAGGAACCACCCACAGCACGACACGTGGCATATTCATCAGGAACATGGATGTGTTAATCATCATGAATTTTGTAACATATTCATGATGAACGTGTGATTAATTATGAATAACATGCCCATAGCTAGTCCATATTCATCATGAATATGTTAATTCATCTTGAAGAGGGATACGTGGTGCAATGTAAGGGGTTCTCGTGTTAGGGTTCCTAAAGAAACTTTCCTCATATCAAACAAACAGTTTTTTAACAGAAATGAAAGTGGTTCTTCTTACAAGAGAAAGAAACAGTTGCTCAAATAAACCAGAAGGCGATATGTTCTCTAAGCTATGCAGAATACCTTCCCTACACACACAAACAACAGATAAACCCTAAACCCAAAAACCCTCAAAACCCTAAACAGACTTACACGGATAAATCCTCATCATATAGTGGAGACTGTCTAACAGCAGGTACTGGTTTTGCAGTTTCCCACAGTTCTCGCCACAAATTACCTAACATCACAAAATAACCATCATTTGTAGAAGCACTTAGAGTTGAAGAACGAAAAGGGAAATAAAGATTTTAGGTCCACAGTGCATGCCTTCTTTCTGCATACGCATACTTAGCTGTCCTTTAGAGGACAAATTGTCACCATCAGCAGATTCTTTACTTTCATCGTCTGTTGATGCTTCGGTCCAGTCAGGGGGTGAATGCCATCTAACGAAATCTTCTAATATGCACCCTGGATTTGCAGCCTAAAACCCAAATCACAAAGACTAAAACTTCTATGGACACTGATCACCTCTAATTAAACGACCCTTTTTCATTTAACATTCACCTTAAAAGCCTGCATGTCCGAAAGAAGCTGAGAACACCCTACACCAACACTGACCATACACAAAAACTCGATTGTGTCAGAAAATCATACTCCCTTCGTTGCACAAAAGGCCCATTTGGTTTTGGAGGATTTGGTGGGATTTGGAATTGTATTCCATCCCAGTCCCACGTGGAAAGTCTGGAATTGAAATCCCATGTCACATACTCATATGGGGCATTGTTTTTTGTAATACTAAGGTAAATAACTTTTTTGTAATTTGTTTTTATAAATTATTTATAAAAAATGGAATTCAAGTCTATTCCAAATCCTACGAACCAGGCATACCAAAGATTCAAAACCCTCCCAATTCCAAATCATTCTACGAAATCCAAATCCTCAAAAGCATTCCATCAAACCAAAAGAGCCCACAGAGTATTGGAATAGAAATGTTTTCAAGATTAAAAAATAAAAAATCAATGAAATGAACCCCTTTGAATTTACTGACCTCCCCGTACGTAACACGAATTCCTCTGTTTCCTTGATAAGATCTTCTGTGAGTAGAGGCCCTTCCTATAAACCAAATAAGTTAGCAAAAAGAGGAAGCGATAACAAATTAGATAGAGAGTAGATATGATCAAACCAACCTGCATAACAGGGGTATATACAGGTTCACCGGTTTCTAAAAGTGTACAGTTCTCTCTTCGTTTATCAGCTCCTAATCGAAGCACAAGTTCCCCAGAGCTAATTCTCGCATAGACAACAGGGCTTAGCGGAGGAGTATCTCCACACTTGTTGTCACCATCAAGTTTCGCTAGTTTTAAAACAGAATCTAATGACTCGGTGGCAATAGCACGCCGCCTTTTCCTAGAAATACAACAATTAATAACCTGCAACTGCTGATACAACATGCACGAATTTAAGTCGGGAATCTCATCTGGAGGGATGCCGGGAATATGTTGTCCTTCACACCATAGCCTTCTCACTTCTACAACGACCCTGGACCAAAACAATGCCATTTTCCGCAGAGTTTTCAAACTTCCAATGGCTTCAGCAAGCTCGGTAACAAAGCACTCAGGAGGAGCACCATGGATTTCTTTGGCAAAATTAGTAATGTTCGTATTCTTCTCCATCCGAGATCCATTCTTTGTTTGAGAAAGATGTCCTTCTGCGAATATCTTGCAAGGATTACAATGGAAGTGAAATATTATCAAGGAGGACTGCAAGAAATTAAAGAAAGACACTTGGTTTTTTTCATGGAAAGACGATCACCAAAAAATATACCTGCATTCGTAAGTGAATGGATAAGAGACATTACTTTCTCATCACGACCGAACTCAGAAGCAAACGTATCTTCTTTCTCCCCTACTACTAATGACTTCATAGCAGATAAGCTCAAAGTAGATCTCTCCTTCACAGGTGAAGAGTCTCTTGATGATATCATAAGATCCTTCATTGACTTTATAATTTTTGTTGTCCTAAGTGGAATTAAAGTATTGTTTCCTTGTTTATTTTGCAAAAGATACAGACATTGAAAGAATATAGGCAGATAGGAGTCGGTTCAATAAATATCATCAGGAGGTAAGAAAAGAAGGTTAAGTGAAGGTTCATATGTGAATCCATTGAAAAAATCCGATTTTTTATATTTTAAGATGCGTATGTGAACCAACGTTACAAATTAATCATATGGGTTCACATATGCATCTTCAAATGAAATTTTTCAATGATTCGCATATGAACCTTCCCTTCTTACCTTCTCATGATATTTAGCCTTCTTATTTGAACCTCCCACTAGGCAGATATTGTAGAGTCGTCATAACATGTACAACAGTCAAAAAAATCAGCACATGTAAAAAAAAGAAAATAAAAAAATAACTTACTGAACACCTATGGCCAATTGCTTTAACACATTTGCTGATGGTACGATATCGCTATTGTTGTCATCTTTGACCGGTGAATCACTCTCCTTTTCCTAAAATATATGAAGATCTTCATCAAATAATGAATATACCACCAAATGATTCTCACTTCAGTTGCATGATAGGAGACACAAAGAAATAGAAACCAACTATAAGATACAAAGAACATTGCATACATGCTTCTGTGGAATATGTGTAGCTATGCTCGACTAGGAAAACGAATAAAAAAATATAAAACATAACTCTTTTCCACTCATCTGGGGCGTATTGATAGAAATCAATATTCCATATATTGCTTTGACTATATGAGAATATGTGAAACCCCATATCGCTCTCCAAAAGAGCCCTTGAGGAGAGTAAGAAGACACTAACATATATATACAGGAGAAATGGTCAAAGTCTAGCCGATGTAGGACTCTAACACGCCCCTCCAACGGAGGCTAGGCGGGCACATATTATCCAAGAGTGTTGAGAGGGGGCTAGGCGAGTATAGATTGCCCCCGGGTGTGGAGTCCCTGATACCACGTGAGAATATGTGAAACCCCCAGATTACTCTCCAAAAGCGCCCTTGAGGAGAGAAAGGAGGCACCGACATATATACAGAAGAAATGGTCTAAGTCTAGCCGAAGTAGGACTCTAACAGAATATATGAAGCATCCAAAAGCAACACAAGAAATTGACTATAATTCTTTTATTGTTCATATGCTTGGTTAACTTAGCAACTCTCTAAGTACAAGTGAGCTAGTAAATTAAAATTTTAAATATATCAAGTATGGCAACGCGTTCGCAACTATGAAGTATGATAAGATATCCATACAAAAGCCAACAACGGGTTTCAAAGGTACCTTAGGACTAGAGACTGCGTTAGCTAGGCATAAATTTGCATCAAAAACTGGAACAAACATTTTTTTGTATTTTTGTTAGCTTCTTGGACTCCCTTTCTCCCAAATCTTAAGGTGTTGAACCTCTCCTGCCAATATTGCTTCGTCTTTATTGGCCCCGGTCTTCACTTTGCATTCTTCACCTGTGAATAGACTTGGAAAAAACCGTAAGTAAGCATTTAAACCAAACCAAAAGAGCCCAGTAATCTCATGCATAGGTAAGGTCTGGGGTTAGGATGTAGAGTTACAGACTTTTTATGTGGAAACCCCATCTTGCAAAATAAAAATTAACAGAAACCAGTGAACAAGCTACAAGCCAAAGTATATGCAAACGAGCAACGGGTACATTAGACAAAAAATGCAAGAGAAATAGGCTGCAAATAAGCAATCAAGAGATGCAATACGAGCACGTCTTCAGACGACCAAAACACAACGTTTTCTGATGATTAGAATCATAGATTGAACATCAAACGTATAACCTGACTTCATGATATTATTACATGATGTATAGCCCTCGGGCATGTAGCTTAGTAGGCAAAGGGAAGGAGCAACTTTGCTCAAATACACAGCAGGTTCAAATTTAAATTCTGCAAGAAGCGGGCTTAAATCCCTCCGCTACCCTCAGTCAGCTCTGAAATGCCTCCTAACATGTGGTTTCGTGTGGGACTGTGGGAGTGAGTCAGATTGCCGGTAATCGACCTTTTGCTCAAATTATTACATGATGTATAAATACCATGAAAGACAGGAAGAAAACTAATCACATTGATATACATTTTCGTGATGAAACCCTTCCAAGAAAGGAAAAAGAAGAAATTATAACTCAATTTGATCTCTAATTTTCTGAATACACCATGATCGTATATTAGAAACACAAAGAATCAGAATCCGAAAAAATGCAGATTGGATTTAGCCCAGAGATTCTAGCTGAAAAACATAATGAAACTAATTTACCTTTCGCTACGACCGGGAGAAGCACTGTTTCCGGATATCGGAGATTCAAATCGTCCTAAGCTTCAGGCAATTAAGATTTTCATATAAATATAAACAGTAATTCAAATCTAGTAAAAGAAATCCCAAACGTCTAAATATAGATAGATTAAGAAAAATAAGTGGAAATCGAAAGAGAGAGAATCCTAGATCGGTGGAGGAAGCTGGTTTTTTAATATCCGTGAAGATTTGTTCTGTTTTAGCGGCGGGGGAATGAATGGCGGTCCTTGCTTTTGATACAAATCCAATCGAAGACGCCGCCATTTTCTGATTGCGATTATTGTTGAAGAAAATGAGGAGAGAAATCTGGATTGATTCATGGAACCAGAGCAGAAAACACACAGTTGGATGCATATGCATGTTACGTTTGTATGACTGTATGCATATGTAGAAAAAATCAAAACCCTAAAATTCAGTATTCCTATTACAAGATGGTAAAGCATCTGAAATTGACGATTGTAGCAACGATAAGTCTAGATTGAAGGTAATCGGAGGTCGCCGGAGCTATGCCGGAGAAATTAATCAGAAATTGAATAACAGTGTAAGTTTCAGAAGGATAACACGAGCGGGGATAGCTCAGTTGGGAGAGCGTCAGACTGAAGATCTGAAGGTCACGTGTTCGATCCACGTTCACCGCATGACTTCTTTTTTTGCAAGTTAAGGAAATGTTATTTTAGGTTAAACCGTCTATTTTTGGTAATTTCCCAATACAAATTCATAATTCATAAATAATAAATAATAATAAATGCCATTTTCAAATTCTTTGAGTGCGTTTGGTGCGCGGACAGGACAGGACAGGACAAGACAGAACAGGACAGCTGTTCAGCGTTTGGTAAGAAATAACAGGACATGACAGGTTAAAATGACCAATTTACCCCCAGTAAGATGTTTAGTTTTTTTCTCTAAATAATCAATATAATAAATGCTTACAAATACTATTTAAAAATATCAAAAAATTTCCAAAATCAATCGTAATTAACAAAAGCTGGAAGCAGCAAATTATAAACCACATGGATTGTGAATAATGCTTACACCCAAAAGCTGGAAGCAGCAAAATCACAGTATTGTGAATCACTCAAATACTATAGAGCAGCAAAGAAAGAAGTTGATGCTGTTGGTGATGAAGCCGATGCCCTTCCAAACAATCTTAGCAATGAAGTATATACACAGTTTGCTCATACATATCTAAGGCTTGGCATGCTTCTAGCAAGAGAAAATGCAACTGCTAAAGTTTATAAATCTAAAATGGAATTTGGAAAGAATGAGATTTCAGCCAACAATGCAATTAGTGAGGCTTTGTCAATGTATGAGTCATTGGGGGACTTGCGTAGGCAAGAGGCCGCATTTGCATATTTTCAGCTTGCTTGCTACCAGAGGAATTGTTGTTTGAGATTATTAGAGACAGATTTGAAGAAAAGTAATTCATCAAAAGGTGAAAATGGTATACTCCAAAGAGTCAAACAGTACTCGTCCATGGCCGAGAGGAACTGGCAGAAATCTATCCAGTTTTATAGGCCAAAAACACATCCTACAATGTATCTGACCATCTTGATAGAGTGAGCTAAAATGCCCTAAACAGTTGATAACAACAAGAACCCTAGAATCAAAACCCACAGAAATTAACAAGAAATTAATCATCATCAAAACCCACAGAAATTAACAAGAACCCTAGAATCAAGAACGAAAGGAGATGTCGTTCACTACTCACAAATCGTTCACTACACAGATCGATTGCGTACCTGGGTATGGAGAGAAGAGACGCGATGGAGGCGATGGAGGCCGTCGATTGAAACTCGCCGTCGATTGGAACTCGCCGTCGACAGGAGGATTCGATCGAGACGATGGAGCTATGAAAAAGGGTTAGTCGTTCTTCTTGCAGCCGGGTGGGAAAAAGGTAAAGAGGGAAATAGGGTTGTGTTCCACTTAGTTCCAGGGGGGTAGGATGGAACACGCGTGTCCAAGGTTTATCCAAGTTAGTTCCACTTAGTCCAACATTGGGCCACACCAAACACAGGACAAATGTGTTCTGTCTTGTCCTGTCCCACCCTGTCCAGCGTACCAAACGCACCCTTTATGACGTTGATTTAGATAATTTCTTTTTAAAATATTTAATTTTATTTAATATTATCCAACTCATAGATTGAAACAAGGTTTTTAAGAAAAATAAGGTTATTCATTGTTATAATTGGCATAAAAGTATAACTTGCTTGTAATATTACGAGCAATCTTGTTTGTCGACTGCTTTATAACAATGACTGAAAAGTTACGTTCTATAAACCCCATAAAGTAGCTTTACAATCTTCAGTAATCGTTCGAAAAAAATATCATAGTATAGAACTCATGCCACATTTGATCCATCCGGTTTCATTTGATCCAATCTAATGCTTCCTTGACTGCACTACCTCTACTATCATCGGCTCGACTTTTCTTTGACGACCCTCTCTTTTTTCACTAATTAATTTTCCCTTCATGGTCACGGGTTTTTATACATACTTGGTTATAAGAGTTTGTTATAATTTTATTTCAATCGATGGATTTTTATACAACCTTTTATGCTCTATTCTAGAAACCTTGTTTATGAAGGAAAGAAAGAGAAAGGAAGCGAAAAAAAGGAGAAAAGTACAAAAAAACTTGTGTCCTCAAAACTTTTTTAAGAAAAAAAATGAAATAAATCACAGGTTTCCACCCAAAATTTTTCTTCCAGACATGGGAGTGGACGGAAAGAAAGGAACGAAAAAAGTTAGGAATTCTTTAAAAAAATTATAAAAATTACAAAACTATCCAACCTTTTGTAAATAAAGAACATATTTTTAAAGGGTATTTTTGTAAAAAAAATACATCTTTCCTTTCTTTTCTCTGTGTTCAAGAACATGAAAAATTATTTTTTTTTCTTCCTTTTACTTCCCTTTCGAGAACACAAATAAAAATAACAATTCTCTTTCCCTTCTCTCTAGATTTGAGAAAACAACATTAAGAGGAAAAAAAGCCATAATTGAGCAACAAACTCACCGTCATCGTTTTTTCTCTTAGATTTATCACTACAACAAAATTAGTTTTATAAGACGTGTAGATTGTTTAAGCGTCCTAATAAAATGCTTTATAGAACTTAACTTTTTAGAATCACAAAATAAAATGTTATATATAAAAACGTTACAATAGGTTTATAGAATGTCTTTAGATGTTTTAACAAATTTTTAGGCCATTTTTAAAATTAGTGTTGTATTAGCTATTTTATATGACATTTTTGAGAAGTTTGTCCTATAAACTCATCTTTTTATAAGACATTTGTGTTTATAGAACACTTTTTCCAGTAATGGCGTATAAAATTAGTTATATGACACTATATTTTTAAAGTGTTCTAAAAACTTGTTAAAACGACTAAAAGCAGCTTATAAATTTTTTATTGTAACACTTTTAAATATGACGTTTTTTGGTTTGGTTCTATAAAATTATTTAAGATGCTTTTACATTTTAGACGTCCTATAAAATCAATATTGTTGTAATGCATTATTTATTATGGACACGCGTTTAAGATTTGAATTTATTCTTTGTGTTAAGGCCGAGAAAACCCATAAGAACCCATTTTGTTTTGATAATGAATAGGTACGTGATTTTATCATGAAAACTTTTATTAACGTACCTAAATGATATAAACTGATTGGAAATACAATATGTTATTCCAAAATCCCACGTCTTATCCATGTGATTTTTGAATACGAATAGGACGTAAAAAATCGAGACGAGTTTTTTATAAACTTGACAATAAATTTTATACGTTCTTGAATGCTTATGACAATTTGACAAGTAAATCTAATACGATTATTGAGTTGGAGTTTCACAAGCTTGATTAAATGTCAAGAAGTTGCTTCACGTTCATGGGAAACGTATATTCTTGTGATCCACTGTATAAAAGGTCTGAAAACATGCTCGAAACTGCTTCTGTCGGATGGTAAAGATCCCAGAAAACATATTTTTTTCTGTTCGAGCAAAACCTCGATATCGGAATGCATGGCACGTCTGCGTTTAGGTTGCCAAGACCACAACAAGCTTCTTTTATCTCCATGAACCCTGAAACATAACATATATAATGAGTGTCATTTGGTCGAACCATCCTACTTTATATCATCATTACCAGGGGCGGACCCAGAAATTTATTTAAATTGTGACACTATTTAACTATAAGAAAAAAAAATATAGGGAAAAGATTTCAAATGATGGCACCGCTTGATTATAAGAAACAAATATACATAATTTTTTTTCAAACAGTGACACCATTTGACTAAGAAAATGACACTAATAAGATTCGAACTTAGGTCTGAGGTGGAATAAAAGTCTTGCAAACCAACTGTACCAAATAAAACTTATTCTCATTGTAGTTTCAAAATACATACGGTGCCACATATATAACAAATTAATACGGTTGCATGTTTCACGAACTTAAATTTTTTTACCCTTCTACGGAAGAATAATACGGTAACACGTGCCACCATACGCTTCATTCTAGGTTCATGCATGATCGTTACCACAAAATAAAATGGTCTTTTTAGAACGTTCAAAGAACCTAACAAGTTCTATTGATGAAGTTAAATAACTTAATAGGACAAAAGAAGAATCTCGTCATAGTAACATTTAATAAGACATTTTTGAAATGTGTCAAATATAACAGGTTTTATAAATTTTAGAAAAAGCTAATATAATATTTTTCAAAAAGTGATTTATTTCTTATGTCTTATTAGGTTGTCCAACTTCATCAACAGAACTTCTTGTTAGATCATTTAACTTGGCCAAAGGATCGTGAACATCCCAAGACGCCCATTTTATTGCCGTGAGTGAATCCTAAAAAAACGTAAAACAAGTCAATCATAATACCATAAGTGTCGGGTTTCTGGAAGAGGTTGGCCATGGCACCATATGTATCAAAATAAGCGTAGTTCATTCCCGGTGAATCGGACTTCAAACTTTCCAACATGATCTTTAGGCCATCGTTGTACTTGGCAGACCAATAATTTAGTTCGACATTGCATTCACCGGTTTTGTTCAACTTTCTTTGCACCGGGCAACATCCGATCTCCCCGACTCCGGCCACCATCACTTTTCGTGCACCCATTCCATACAACGTCTACTATATACATACGATTCACATATTTACTCAGATCATTCAAAAGGGTCAAAAAGATCTTAAGTTATTCATCACCTACCTTAAGCAAGTTTCTGAAGGTGGACGTCATAAGATCGACATATTGTTGTGGGTTGAATTGATTAGATACGATGGAACCGATAGTGAAATATGCGAATAGATCGTTGCTTCCGATAACGATTGCGAAAAGGGATTTTGATAGGTGCGTTTGTGCGGCAGCTGGTCCTAACTGTTGGACCAATTGGTCACGAACCAAAGCGAAATAGTCTACTTGTTGGGCCAGTGGAATTGATTGTTTCTGCAGTTAATAGATAATATAATCAGAGAAAAACAACAAGCGGGGATAGCTCAGTTGGGAGAGCGTCAGACTGAAGATCTGAAGGTCACGTGTTCGATCCACGTTCACCGCATTTTTTCTATTTTTATTTGTACTTGGTTTTTTCTTTTTAGTTTTCCAGATTCTTACAACGAGTAGTTCGCCAGTTCCGTTAAGGATGCCGGCACCTCCAGACGCGAAACTGACTCCGGTGATCGGTGGTGTGGCACCGCCGGTCAACGACAGAAACGGTGGTGATGTCGGTAATCCCATCTTTTTCGCTGTCCAAAATAACACAAAATAAAACTCTGCATTTGCTCCACACACATATATAATTGGTATCATGTGAGAACAAAACGATTTCATGAGAACCATGACACTGAATAAACAACACTGAACTTTCATATGTTTTTTGGGAAGCTTCCATGTTCTTTTTACTTTCACAATGTTTTATCACAAAGTTTCGGTGTCATAGGTTTCACGTGTAACGTGAACATATAGCAAATGCTATATGTGTATATATAATCATAAAAATGAAAGAAGAAGTAAATCGCAGATACCAAGAAAGTCAGCAGCATTCTGGCCGTTACTGAATCTTCCGGTGGGTTTTCCGGCAGGATAATCAACGCCGTTGTGAGGGAAATTAGCCTTGGCGATTGAAAGGGGCAAGTAATTATTATTTCCGACATCGACTAACGAGTCCCCGATCATGTAAACTGCTGGTGCAGCCTGATGAGGTTGACACACACCAAGTCTTATTAGCCCAGAAAACACCAAGAATGCCGTAAGACCGTGGACGGAAGTAGCACCTGCAGGTGCAGGCATGGTGTGTGTTTTGGTTGATGGGAATTGAAGGTGGAGGAGTGATGGAGGTTATAAAGGTGTGAGGATGGATCGGAAGGTTGAGTACGTGATCCCATATGATGTTTGAGTGGTATGGGGTGGCCGGGTGTGTCTTTAGGATAATATTTTTATGGAAGTATAATATATATTTTGAATGGATTTGGCGTCTGTTCTAAAAAGAGTATGATATCTTTTTGCGTTCCTACTTCTAATTGGATCTTCGTTAACTCGTAAGTTGTTTTTGGGACCACCCACTCCCGTTCCTTGGTTGTTGGTGTAGGCATCCGGTCTTTCTTAGCCATAAGAGCTTTTGCCAGCGTCATAATTCAAAAATGGTATAGATGATATTCTTCACTACATCCCTTAGAGACTTAATTAAGAACTCAAGTCGTTAATTAGTCTTTGTATTTTAGGGATCGATTTTTCCATACTTATTATATATTAGTATTAGTATTAATGTATGCATAGCAATATTTATGGAAGTAGTTACAATTTACATCATACCACCATACTAACTTATTTATAGTATAAAACATTGTGGGACATATACACGAATTAAATGTATAAAATATAATATGTTAGATAAATGAGAAAACGGTAGATATGTATGACTTCTTGTTGATAATTTTAGCATAAAATGACATGTTGAAAGGTGTTGGGCATTTTAGTCTTTTTGTGTAAAAAAAATAGTATACAAAATTAATTGTCTCTTTCTCTCTCCCATCGTAATCGTATCGTTAATTTGCCACCCTATGGCCTATGCTACTGCTAGTGACTATTATATAACATCATGAGAACTAAAAAGGTGATTTTAATCTTTATCTTATCAAAATTTATGATTTAATTTGATTACGAAACATCAGATAATTCCTTGTATAATATATGAGAAATAGATGAGTAGTTTTGTAACTTTTACAAATCGACGTCAAAACAAGTGTATATATGAACCCGCATGATTCACATATGAACTATATGTTCATATCTGAAACCGTGTAATTCACTAATTAACTTATTTACATCTTATATTAATAAATATTTTTTCAAAAACTATATTTAATAATTACATATGATATGAATAAAAATAGTTTACTTCACATCCTGATTAATGAATATTTTTTCAAAAACTATATTTAATTAAATATTTTATTTNTCCACCAACCAACAACCCGGTTATAACGACATGTATACATACAAGTTACGATTGTTAGTTAAATGATGATTTCAAATAACCATTATATATAATATTAATAAAAATAAAAAATGGTTTACCTCACATATCCTAATTAATTAGTATTTTTTTCAAAAAATATATTTGATAATTAAATTAAATATTCTATTTAAATTATAACACATTTTTACTATTTATGAAACAAAATAAGGGGTTGTTTGTTTTTAATAAAAAAGCTCTTAATGTCCTCTTATGTCTGACCGAAGTCTGAATCGGTCAAACATAAGAGGATTCAGTGTGTTTTTTTTTTCAATTAAGAGCTTAAAAGCTCTTATTAGGTCTGAAAATTTAAGTGGTTGTGAAACCTCTTATTTCAAATCGTCGCCTACCTACTCTGATCTCTTTGCACTCGATTTCTCTAGATCAACTATTCTGTCTCGATCTCTCATCTCTCAACTTTGTCAACTGTCAATCCATATCAACTCTCGATCTCTCATCTTCAAACTTCAGATTTCAGACGCAAAAAACAAACAGTCTAACTGATTCAGACTTCAGCACAACCTCTTAAAAATCAGAAGTGAATTCAGACTTCAGACTTCAGCACCTCTTAAAAAACAAATGACACCTAAGTATAACTTTAATTTTTATGTTATATAATCGTTATTAAAATTGTTATATTTACGTTTTGATAGTTAAATATATTTAATAATAATTAAAAAAATAACTAATATGATTGATAAAAATAATATTTCATGAACGAATAATACATAACTAAAAAAATTAATTTTCAATTAATATTAAAAGAATTTATCAAACAATACCTAAACCTCATAAACAGCTTTATCTGTACAAAAACCAACCAATTAGACCATAAATTAAACTTTTCAATAATCTTACTAAAAAAGGTAAGCTTTTTATCCGGCAAGAAGCCCCAAACCGGAGGGTCGGATACAGGCTTGGAAAGTATAAAGTGGGTCGGAAAAAGCCAAAGTTTTCGCTCTCGGTGAAAATTACTACCACTACTTTAATAAAACAAGAGAGAGAAACGGCGAATCTTCATACAGAGAGCAGAAAAATATGGGTCGGATCCTCGGCGGGAAGAAGAAGGGACGACCATCTAATGCAGATCTACCACGTCGTAACTCTAGTGCTGAACCAGAGTCACAGCCACGGCGGAGCTGCCGCAGACGGAATGTTAGGTACAATTTTGACATCGATGATTATGTAGACGATGAGGAGTTCTACAAGGATGTTGGGAGGAGAGAGAAGAAGCTTAGGATGCTGCTTGGTGAATATGATTCCGACTCCAATCACTGCGAGGAGAGTTCGTCGTCTGATGAATATGATGAAGTTAAGCCGTCGAAGAAACGGAAAATTGACGCCGGTGATCGGGAATTCGATGGAGAAGATGATGAAATCGGAGAGGTAAAATAACTCATGGATTTGAATTGAATCGAGGTTCAGTAGTAGATAGTTTGTGTCGGTGTGTATGTGTATGTAACAGCTGAGAGCAATTCACTGAAATTTCTATGAAATTCGGATACCATGCTTGTTTATACCTGAATATGAATATACATATATATACATATATGTATATGTATATGTGTGTGTGTGTGTGAATATGTGTTTGTGTTGGAGATCGGGATACAATCTACCCGCCTTTCTCTCTGCCCCACAATCTTCTTTCTCTCTCCACATACCACTGACTCTGTCCGTTGTCTGTTCGGTTGTCCACTGTTAGCTCTTTTAGGGTCTAGGTTTATGGTTTATTCTTTTAGTATCATCTTATATTTTGACAGACAAGAGGAGGAAAACTGGAAGAAGAAGAAGAAGATGATGATGCAGAAACAGGAAGGGCCAACTCTGTTCCTGGTTTGTTTTAAATTTCAGGATTTGTTAATACTCTCAGCTTCAATCTGTATGTGAATTAAATACCGACTGTTAATTGGCATATTGAACAGGGACACCATCAGATCCTCCAAATGGGGTATTTTTGCCTGATAAAAAGACTCTAGAGTTAATACTAGACAAACTTCAAAAGTATGCATCCGTAGTATCTGTTTGTATTCTCTTTCTTCTGGATAAGATCTTCTTCAATACATAATTTAAAATTTTGCTGTCTTAATTGTGGCAGAAAAGATACTTATGGTGTTTTTGCTGAACCGGTTGATCCCGATGAGGTGAATTTTTGAGTCATACTTTCATTTTAATATAATTTTAAAAACATTCTTGGTAATTACTGAACCAAACCTATCCCAACCGGGAATAAGATGAATACAGACCCGGAGGGAGGTTTTTGTGGGAAAACCTTAAAAAAATGAAAAACTAAGGAACACCTTGGTAACCATTCATCTGGACGGTATGCACATATGCATACAAGTAATTGAAGCTGTTTTTTGGTTATTATGCACTTGTGCATGTCATGCATACCTTTTAGATGAACGGTTACCAGGATGTTTTTCATTTTTTGTGATTTTCCCCGAATGACTAGAGCAGTTGATTCCGTGGAGACCCTGATTCTTGGTAATTGAAGTGGCTTATCTAATCTTGCATTGTTGGTTGGTCTACTGCAGCTGCCTGATTACCATGCTGTGATAAAGCAGTCTATGGACTTTGCTACGGTTAGGAAAAAACTGGCAAAAGGAACTTATTTAACCTTGGAACAATTTGAGGTTAGTCCATAGTTATTGGAACATTTGTTATTATGCCAAATCAATTGATGATTCATTAATGATGGAAGGGCAAATCTATGGATCACTCAGTTTATCATCAAGCATTGCTCCAATTGCTTTTTATGAGACATGGATGAGAGTTGATGCACATTCTCTTTTTAGATTCATGCTCACTCCCTATATAAGAAAAGATAGAAATTTGATAGTTACCATATACTTACTCATCCTCCCCATTGGATTCAGTTGAGAACACGCTTTGCCGTTTCACATGTGAGGGATTGTGAAGATTGTGCATCAAGATTATAGCAGATATATCTTCAGTTCAAATTAATTGTGCTCAACGGCTCAAGATAAAATTGAAGTGGTGTTAGCGGAAATAAACATGTTTAAGGCATTACTGGAACTATCTACACTAAGATGTTATGAAATTTAGTCCAAATACATTTTTGTTCGCATATAGATGCATGTACAGTATATATAATGTTTTAGTATGCCTACTATAACATGAATGCTAGATGAACAATGTGATCTTAGTCTTGAATACAAGAAAACCATATATGTTATATTAGGGGATGATGCTTGTTTTTTTCATCCATTAAGCCATGTCTAGATTATGCCTTCTGTCTGGTTAAAAGATCAAATTGTTGTTTGTTCTGTGTGCTGAATAAACGGTTTGTAAGATAAAAATTACCATTTACCCTTCAGTCTAGTGTTGAATGAAAATGTCCGTTTGATAACCAAATAAAAAACCCAATATATTCCACTCAAAAGTAGGGCCTATGAGGGTAAGATGTATGCAGATCTTACCCCGAGCACCAGGACCACTAGGATTGAGGGTTGTTTCCAAAAGGACCTCAGGTTGTTTGATAAATATTCTAAATGACACAAAATTTAAATAAAAAATATATGGTCTAACCTCATCATTAAACATTACATCATACAATATATATTCAAACTTCTGTAAAAACGTCATAATAATATTCAAAGGGTAGAGTGGGACGCTGAACACAAAATTGAATTGCGCACCCCCTTTTATAGACATTATTAATACATAGTTTAATATAATCATTTAATTATTAAGTTAAAATTATGTTAAAGAAACATTGATAAGCTGTTTTTCTTTAGTTTTCTTATTCATTTTCTTCCTTTAACCATTATCTGAATATGCTTAATAACCAGTTTTCTTAAACACAGAGTGATGTGATTCTAATATGCGCTAATGCAATGCAATACAATGCACCAGATACAATTTACTATAAACAGGTATGCACATGTGAATGTATTTCTTTTTGTTTTAGCCCCATATGATTCACTTGTGATCTCACTACACTACTAATTTGGGAAGGCAAGCTCTATCCTGGAGCTGGCGAAAACGAAATTCCAGCGCCTAAACTTTATTGTCGATCACCCAATAAACTCAAGTTCATCACCACCTAAAAAGCAACCAAAGAGGTCGATGGTCCGAACCGTTCAGGAACCCGCTGGATCCGATTTGTCTGGAGAATTTCAAAATGTCTTATCTGCCCACACTAAGCCCCCTGATGATGGAAATCGGCGGACAACATTCAATATGTCAATTCAGCCGGTCATTGAGTCGGAGAGTGTATTTTCAACCTTCCAGGGTGAAAGCAAACAGCTTATTCCCGTACGTCGTTATGTTTATTTAATCTGTCTGTTTGATGACGATTTGTCTGCCTACTAAACTCGTTATCTCCGGAATCAGGTTGGGCTGCATTCGGATAATTCTTACACTAGGAGCCTAGCTCGTTTTGCTGCAACTCTCGGATCGGTTGCTTGGAAAATTGCGTCCCGAAGAATCGAGGAGGCTTTGCCGGAAGGCATCAAATTTGGGCCTGGATGGGTTGGAGAATATGAACCACTTACAAGTCCTGTTCTAGTGATCAAAAACTGCACCTTGAAAGAATCTGATTTTCTTACGAGATATCTCGGTATCATTGATGTGAGAACCGACGACAAAGCTTCTAGGAACACAGCCGATGGTGATGAAAAACTTTCTAGAAACCCCGCTCGTAAACACGAGTCTCCTAAAGGATCGAGTTCAGAAATGGGACCCCCATCTGTTTCTTTTCTGCAAGCTAAACTTCGTGAAATGGCTAGTTCAAAGCATCCGCAACAGAACTCAGACTCGTTGAACTTAATGGAGCTTAATGCTTCCGATATCCAATCTCCTAGACCAGCAGGAGTAGTTTCAAGAAACAAAAATGTTTCATCGGTATCATATTTTAAGCATCCAAATCGTAACGATGATGGATCCGTGCCACAAAACTGGAAACCCGTTTCGGTTGTTTCAGACTGTAATACGATTGGCTCCAATGTCGGTCCTGTAAACACGAGTTTTCCCCAACAACAGGGTCTTGCTGATGCGGTTCAGATGACGAGCAAGTTAGCTCAGATTCATTCAAACGGTTCCATGGTTTGTCCACAAAGAGAAAATCCGAGTAACGTCGAGTGGATGTCCTTAGGAGGGGTTACCAGACCGCATGTAGCCGAAAACCGAAATTCCCACCACCACCGCCGCCAACACCATGTTTCACCGTTTCATGGTGAATTCCCTACTTCCATGGCTCAGCTTCAACAACCCGTCCACGGCTTCGTGAATGAGCCCCGGTTCCAAAACCGACAAGTGATTTTTCCTCGGCTTGTAACCGCAGATCTGTCGAGGTTTCAGGTACAGTCTCATTGGAGAGCGGTTAGCCCTCAAAAACCGCAGCAGCAACCACCAAGACCGAAACACCAAGAATCACGGCCGCCTGATTTGAACATAGGTTACCAGTCTCCTGTGAGACAGTCTTCGGGCATGGTTGTCGATTCTCAGCACCCGGATCTGGCCTTGCAACTCTAAGTAATAAATCTACGATACTACCCTTGGGCGTCGGGTGTGTAGCTCAGTTGGCAAAGGAGGAGAGCGAGACGTTGCTCAAATACACAATAGGTTCAGGTTGGAATCCTACAGGAGACGGGCTAGAACCCATACACTAGCCTCAACTCTGAAATAACTTCTCACATTTGGTTCCTAGGCCGATCGGGGTTGCGTAGGTTTTCTCATCTACAAAATTACAATTTTGTTGGAGACGAGATTATTAATGTGGTGTGAAATGACAATTTTGTTGGGAGACGAGAGTATTAATGTGGTGTGAAATAAGAAAAATCTTGAATTTGAAGGTAGAGAAAGTTTACAAGTAATAATTGTAGTTGTAATTGATTTATTCATTTACAACTTCATACAATATCGTTTCATAGATGAAACATCACACATGAAATATACATTGATACTCACTCGCAAAAACAAAACATGTGGAACAATACGAATGATTGAATTTAAAAACAAAACATGTTGAACAATACGAATGATTGAATTTCACAGGTTTGGGTTTAATGTGTGTTGTTTCAATCAGACAACTAATAGTTATGGTTTATAACAATTAGACAACTTTATGATTTCTGGTTTAAAGAAGCCAAGCTGCAATCTCATGTGTCAATGTTGAAACGGAAAACACCACCATACATCATTTATATTACTAATAACATGCCAAGAACAAACTTTAATAGAGAAAGATATAAAGAATGTACATAAATCATTCATTCATTCAGCTCCAAATGTATTCTCTCCACTGTAAGTCATGTACAGGAAACCATCCTCATCTTTGTTTTCCTCATATATTGCAGACATCATTGCAGCTACAACAATATATGACATAATTATTTATTCATTAATTGCAAATCATCAATTCAAAACATGGGTTTGAAATATACCAGTGGGTGGCAGAACATTCTTCACAAAGATGAAGATGGCCTTTTCTGCACTCAGCTTTATCCTTTTTCTTACCACATACACGAACTGTCCTACACTCAGATCGGCTGGTACCAGATACCTGCAACCATCATGTCATCTCTCTTTGCAATCAAATATACCCACAACTCCATTATAAATCACAAAATATCCAACTTTTTCCAAATTAACACACTCTAAACATAACAAAATAGCCATTTTTTCCCGACATATTTTATTCAGTTTGTAGCCCAAAAACCATGAACAAAACCCAAAATTAAGCCCACAAAAGTTGAAAAAGATCTTGAAAGAAGGTCATGTTTGCAAAAAAAAAAAAAAAGGGGGGGGGGGGTTTGCTCATAGGTGATCGTTTCGTGCTAATTTGAAAAAAGTTGGGTGATTTTGTGACGAGTCAACTCCAATTTTGGTTATTTTTGTGATTTTCCCTTGTATATATATGTTAAAGATTCCTTCTTTCTCTACTTGATAAGATTAAACTCCAACGAGAAGGAACGAAATGACAAACTTTTTCTTGTCTATGTCGGGTATGTCGCTTCTTTCAGCCTTCTCCACGATAACCTGTAAACCCGAATATAAATAACAAACACAATGCTACAAGTGATGTATTTTAGCACATATTTGAACATCTTTTGGTACCGGTATTCTGTCGGGATACTTTTCCCTGATACGAGCAGCCTCAGCTTGGCGCCTCTCTAAACAAACAAAACAGAAACTGACTCATGACCAAATACTTTACAAATGTATAACATAGAAAAGCAGCATGGCAAGTGTTCGTCAAGATCGACCTCTGGTTCCTATTGGTTGAAATTAGCCAAAAGGACCGTCTATAAACAGAAACTATAAGCTTTAGGACAATGTGCATTGTGAGTTATTGAAATAATGGTTTCACAAAGCCTTGCCCAAAAGGGTATGAACTTGAAATCAATAGTAGCACTGTTTGTTTATTTAAATAGGGGAGGGAAGACACTGCAAGGGTGCATTTGGTACACAGACGGAAATGGACCGGTAGATGAAAGAATTGTGAAAGACTTTAAAAGGGTATGAATAGTGTAGTAATTCAACTACCTTGCCTATCTCCTTCGTATTTTGTTCCTCTTATTATGATGTATACGAAGTTGAGTTTCAACAAGAATCACAAAGAACAGCAAAACCCGTAAAAACTTCACAAAATCTTGAAGATCATGTTGTTGGAAGGAAAGGGAAAGTTTCTAGAGTTTATAAGGCTTAACAAATTAGACAAAAGCCCAAACAAGGGACACGGATTAAGCCATAGAGGGAAGCTTGACATATATTTTAATATCAAAAAATTTGGGCATTGAGCCTTGCCATCTTGGGTTGGGGTTCTTGACATTTACGGAAGAAACAGAGATTCGCGCGACCTAACAAGTCATGCAAGCACCTGTGCAACCCTCTGGATGTTTCGAAAGTGACTTTCATGGCCTCCCACACGACCTTATGCATCTCTCTGAGGCCGTGAACAGAGACTTAGGCGACTATCATCAAATAATAAGGGGTCATATACCCAAATGCTTACTTGGTTAATGCTCCAACTTAGCTTACTTGGTAAGATTGTAGTCCATCAAAACGGTATCATGTAAAACAATTTACCCGGTATGTGTTTAACAAACGGGCACTAATTACAACTTATTTTCACCATTTATAATGCATATGGAATCTTACTCCCGACGTAAAAACCCTAGATTCCTAGTGCAAAACCATGGATCGCTAACTCCTACCGAGTCTCTGTTACTTAAAGATTACAAAAACATCAAAAAAGAACAATTACTATTTGTCTGCAAACCCTACTTCCACATTCTTCAGAAAATATCATGAAATCGTACCAACAAAAGAAAGAAAATATATATAGTTGATGAACAAGAAGATAGCAAAATAAGATCCTAATTAGTGGAATCAATCGATGAAGAAGGCAGAATTATTGTATCAATCCGTAAAAAAGAGGTAAGAAAGAGAACCCAGAGGATGTTCCAATTTGAAGGAGCTTTTGGCCATGGCGGATGCTATCAACTGAGATAGAAAACAACACAGATGAGATTAGGGTTTTTTGGTTATAAAAGCGTACAATTATATCAAAATGATCATGGAAGATGATTACCAGTAGTAATTCTGTGAGATGGGTTTTGGGTCTTGGGAATTGGAAGGAAATTAACAGGGAATTGATTTCTGGTTTTCTACGTTTCTTGAATTGGGTAAAGGGGACAACAATACGCTATCGTTTGATACGCCTCTTATCAATAATTGCACGTTGGGCCTTCCCTATTAAATGGGGTTGATTTTTTAAGTTAACGTTTATAGGGTTGGTTGGCGTTGCCGTTTGATGGTCAGAAAGACGACCACTTTGGGATTCATATTATCATTAGGCTGAGAGACATGGAGATTGAAACGAATCAATTCCCGTATCAAGCGAGTTGTTTGATTCATAGGGATTTTAACAAAAAAGGGTGTATATTTGTAAAGTAAGAGCGTTTAATTGCTTCAAGCCATACAAAGCTCGCAAATACAAGATTTTCAATCTAAAACACCCTTTTCTAATGTTGCATATCGATATCATCAAAAAGAGGTCTAACGTTCACGTTTTTTAGGATGTTTCCTTCACTTTCTGGTATATCAACCAAAGAAATATGCAAATTAAAACATGTTCAAAGGATTATATAAACTTGTTTATTGAAGGATGGAAAACATCTTGTGGTTTGGTTTGGTTTGGTTTGTATGAAGCGCTTCTTATTGTTCAAAAACAATATTTACCATCTACAGAAATCACCCTATTTTCTCACACAAAAACAATTGGTGGTACTCCTCTTCACCTAAAATAGAGTAGCACCTTCACCTTCACCTTCACCTTCACCTTTTGCCTTCATTCATTCATCCTACCATCAATCAAATTCATCGTTTTCTTTTAAGGATGATTCTTCAAGAATTTGATGGCTTCTGTAGATCTGCTGTACAGACATAATCAGAAAGATGCATTCCATAGACTATCTTCCCCTTCTCCACATCGCCGGTGAACCTCCTTTATTCGTTCAGCCGACCTGCAAATCCCGCTACAGCTCCAGTCGAAAGACGCCACACATATGTTGCCTGCTTGAGCCTTCCACTCGCAATCTGCACTCAAAAACGAACACCCAGATAAGTCCGCTTGAAAACTATTTGGCTCAATGACATTCTACAGAAGCTGTGTTTTGCAAAATGACCCTTATCTGTCGGTTTATTTAAGTATAAGGAAGTTCCGCTAGGAACCCGCGAACCATCCATTACGCACGTGGCACTCTTCAAGATGAATATTCATCATGAATAACACAACACATTCATGATGAATATGGCAGGTGTCGCACTTTGGGCAGTTTCAAGGCTCCTAAGCAATTTTAGGTTCCTAACGAAAACCTGCCTCTATTTAAGTGTATGAGATTTTAATCGAAATGCATTTAATTAAAATATCATTTAAAGTTATATGCATAAACGACCCATTTTGGGCAGATCAGAAAAAGGTTATTGAGCTCGGAAAAAAAAGTCATGCTCCTAATTGAAAACTCAATTAAGATTATTTAATCAAAGGACCCAGAACTGAACGTTACCAGGTGGGGTCCCACAACATAGCCTTCGATCATCGATATGCTCCACATCTAGTCCGATAAACCACGATCCTAGCGATACATCCTCGTTCACGTATTTGTGTAGCACGTTCCTAAAAAAAATTTGGAGTTGAGATATGCTGAAAACAATAAAGTTTACAGTTCCCACTTTATAAAAGCAATAAAATGATGCTTACTGGTTTATTGAGATATAAGTAGCTAAATCTTTCGAGATGGCGTAGAGTTGTCCAGTAGCATGTCGGAAATACTTGTTACCTTCCTCACCGAACTTCCAGTGTTCAGGTTCGTGATATCTCACTCCTCTGTAACAAAAAAAAATGGTCAACGGTCGAACCCATGATGGTCAAAAACAAGCAAGAAAGGTTACGGCTTACTTGTGAGCAAGCACGGGACCTGACTTCATGCATCCAATGTATACACGTGGATTTGCTCGATGTTTAGCTAACGTTGCTCCTAGTGTACCTGCAGTGTAACCGTGAGTTTGCAACAATGAAACTCAAGTTTAAAGCACTAAAAAAATCGGTTTTATAGGACGCCAAATAAGTCTAAATGTCATAATAGACTGCTTTATAGGACTTAAATTTATAGTATGCATCATATGTAAAGGTGTTACAATAAATTGATAGGACGTTTTTGTAGTTCCTAACACGTTTTATAGGACATCTTTTTACAAAAACAAGCGTTGTTTTAGTCTTTTTTTTATATGACATTGTTTGAAAAGGTGCTTGTTTTTGTCCTATAAAAATATGTGTTCATAGCACGCTTTTAAGTGTCATATAAAATAACTAATACAACACGTTATTTCAAAAGTGTCCTACAAAACTTGTTAGGATGCCCAAAAACGTCTTAGCATCCTACTTGGGTCCTATAAATCATTATGTTAGGACATTTAGACATATGCAGCGTTCTATAAAGCCGATTTTGTGTAGTGAAGCCTCTGAAATGGGTTCGTACGACTTTACCTATATTCACGTGTACATCGTCATCAACCTTAACGTAGAAATCTGCATCCCACATCGCAACAGCGGTCGTAAAATACGTCTTTGTCTTCGCTGACAATTCGAGGTACCCCTCGATATGTTCCTGCTCACATACCGTTTAAATCAGCTGTCTGCTTACTAGATCAAGATTCTAACAAGAAGAGGCAGGTTCAGATGAGAACCGTAAATAGTTTGTAGAAACTGGAAACCAACTATTCATAATAGTCATGATGAATGAATGGACATTTTAGGGTTATTCATAATGAATAACTGATGAAATAGTTGGTTGTCAGGTTCTCAAAATAACAAAAAAGTTGTATTTTACCAGCCTCAAGAAATCTCCATGCTTTCTGTCTTCTGCTTCGATAGCTCTATCGAGTATACCACCAGATGTAGCACTGCAAAACGGAATCACAGATCAATACGATCAGCGCCTTTAGATTCTCATGTTTTAATGCATAACGTAAGATAGTGAAACAGGTGATTCCTACCCGTGACCTATAACAAATCGCATAACGATACCCTTCTCTTCCTCCAACTTCCTCAGTTTATCACCTGGAATTTGTTAAACATCGAGAGAATTCAAGATTTAAATCAAAGATCATGCCGGAATGATTAGCTAAAATGCAAAAGCCAGAACAACCTTGAGGCATCCAAGTAGAACGGACGGAATCCCTTCTTTTTCGGCTGCTAAAAGCCGTATTAATGCCTACAACCATTAGATATTTTCGTTTCTTGATTGGCTCTGGTAGCAACAGATCATCGGATATGGGGGATCCGGTAAGGATAGAATCTTGCATAGCTCTAGCAGCAGCTAGTTCCATCTCCAAGCTCGAAATCGTTTTATCTAACGTTCTACATCCAAGAAAACCGTCAAGAAAAAAGTCAGCCTTTGAAAGTCAAACGAATTACACCTCATAACCTAAGTTTGACTTTGAAAATCCAACGGAGCTTACTGGACGGCATTATGTGTTTTCGAGACTTCACGGATTATATCTTTCGAATCTCGCCTTACATCCTTCTAATAAGACATAAAAATCCCAAAATTTCATTAATACCCAGATCAGAAACATAAAAAACAAACGAATTAAGTACATTTATTAACTTGACTACTCACTAATCTTGTGTCACAACCATCTGCAACAACTTGAAGCCGTTCATCTTCGGTTCCTGTAGGTCTCGATAGACCTTTCGCTTCAGGCTCGGTCCACATTCTAACGCCATAACGAAAACAATCAGCAGGCAATCCAAAACAAAACATATCATGTATTTAACGGGGATCGTTATCTAAATGCTCCAAGATTAGCAAAACTAACAACATTATGCAAAGACTAAAAGAAAGATCCTAAAAGATCAATATGGTCATTCGATGATTCGATTTCGATCCATCATATGACAGTTATAACCTTTGAATACCCACATGGATTTTTATGGCCCTAAATCAATCTTGTCCCTTTATATCAATGAAACAATTGGTAAATAGGTAATCTAATTCTAAAATTGTCCCAATTTTGATGGACATTCTAAACAGAAACCCATTACAATTTTCATGGGAATTCAGTCAATTTTCAATATTTGAATCTTGAATTACATCCAGTAGCAAGAAATCCACCAAAGAATCCATCTTCCAACAGGAAATGAATCCAAACCCACATCAAGATTCAAAGAAATTAGTACAAAGATTTATTAAAAACCCACATCAAGATTCAAAGAAATCCCAGTAAGCATGTGCATAATTATTTCACAGATATTACAAAGATTTACTAAAAACCCAACAAATTAGTACCCAATAATTGCAATATAGACCTTCTTCCTTTTTAATTTTTGAGTGGTGGGTGGGGTCAGTTACAGAAATAGAAAGAACACCTGTCGGTGAAGAGCATTCCGGCGAAGAAACAACCGGCACACAGGAAAAGGGTCAACTTTCTTGACATCACGTTTCTTGAATTCGACTCTCTGTTCTTCCAAGACATTTTGTTGGTAATCTTCTCTTCTCTTTTCGAAATTGCACTAATAAAAAACAAGCAAACTAACTTACAAATCTCAAACCCATTTCAAAGATCAAGTGAACTGAAAATCAAGAAATTCGATAATCAGATCCAAGAATCGAGATATCGACTTCAAACTTCAATCAGCAGCTTAATCAGCAAAAGGGTGCCCTAGATCAACGATTATGTGGACAGGACAGTATAGTGGAGTTTTGATGGATTCAGTAGTAGTTTAGTTGTGATTGCAAGAATCAAGATTTGGGATTTTGATTGTGTTGTGGGTTGTGTAGATGTGGATGCGTGTCTTCAAATTTGGGGAAGAATGGTCGAAAGCAGGTGGTGTGGGTGCAGTGGTAATAGACGACATAAATAAGGTAAGTAGACCCGCCCCACACACCAACAGAAAGCGAAACCGGTGAAAGAGGCAACTTGGAATTTGTAGTCTATATATATTTTATTTTTTAGTCATTTCTTTGTTATAGTTTTAAGAATATTAATACTTTTACAAGTAACAACTCTTTAATTTACGAAGGGATCAAAATATATTTTCCCTAACAATTGGATTGTCCACATAGACTCTTACCCTGCCTAATTGGTCTGGGCATTCGCCACTTTAAACAAACGGGCACTTCACCCCTCTTTTCTTTAATAGAAAGAGAGGGGCGAGAATTAGGAAGGCAACCCGATTGGGTAGTGTCATGACTCCCAAACCTTGGGTGACTATTCAGATTTTTTCGAGAATAAACCAGTTCATAAGTAGTTGATTGGTTTACTGGAAAGTAGTTTTTGTTTTCAATTCAGAGCCACTTTTTTCCAAAATCCAATGTCAGGTTTTCTGTGAATCGTTTTTTATTGATTGCACGAGCTAGTCAGATGGCAAACTCTTACTAGTTTGACTATTCTTTCTTTTATTCATGGAGAGTGGGTTCCCTTGAAAAACCTCATCATTGAAATTTATTAGTCCATGAAAATAAAATCTGATATTTTGGATGTGAATGTTGAATGGATTGTTTTCCAACAAAAAGTATGTGATCATTGTAATTTATTGTTATTGTCCAGTAAGTTTGAGTTGTGCACATGGGTCGCACGTGCATCAAAAAAGGTGATGAACATAGAGCAAGTGCTTTCCTTACATTTCTATTGATTATTCGATTTTAAGTTTTTTTATTTTTTTTATCAATGATTCATATATTAATAGATTTTTTTCATGTTTTATGTCTTTATTATTTAAATTGTAGTCTATATAAATATATAAAATATACATTTTGTTTTATTGGTCAACACCACAACAACAACAACATCAAATTCGGATTTAATATTTAAAATTAAACATAGAGAGAAGGGTATCTGGATTAATAATTTAGATGGGATTTAAAGTTGGTTGTTTGAAAGGTAATAGGGTGGGGTTAGTGGAGTGAGTCTATAGGTGGATGAAATACCAAATCCCATGTGCCAATAATACAAGATGAATTGACTTCACCCATGTGATTTTTTATATTGTAGCCCGCAATTCGAATCGAGGACGGGTTTTTGGAGTTAGCTTACCTTTGTGACGTAAAACTTATAGGCTTTTTCGTTTTTCTAATTTCTAAGCAAAAACCATTACTCTTTTGTGTAACATTTTGGTTTGGTTTGGTTTGGTTTGGTTTGGTTTGGTTTGTCTTCTTCAAAATAACAAGGAGGGAAAATTGAATTAAAATGTAATACATTAAGATTTAGTTGTAACACTTTTCTTTTTGAAAATTAAATTGTATGCTATGTAATATTATCATCAAGGTCAAGGTGTCCTGTCCAACTTAGAAGACAAATAAGCCTAAGGGCTAGTGGTCGAATTGAATATGTGAAAATTAACTAACTTGGGCTTTCACCATTTTGGGCTCATTAACTACTTTGGGCTTTTGATTTAGATTGATCCCTTGCAGTTGCACTATCATTTAAATTGATTGGTAAAAAAAAAGTGAAAAGAGAAGGTAGTCGGACTTAAAAATCTTTGTATAAATAGAGTTGTTTAATTCTTTTTGATATATTACAAATCTTGTAATTAATTTACAGATTACACATATTCTTTATTAATTTATCAGCTTTGTCATTTATTACAGTCATAACTTATCTAGTGTTGATGGGTTATACTAGCTCGACTTTATGACAACTTAAAGTCAAATTAAGAAAAGGAAAATTACGAGTTTTTACCATCCATATATATATATATATATATATATATATATATATATATATATATATATGTGTGTGTGTGTTGGTGTTGGTGTTGGTGTTGGTGTGCTTGTATATTAAAACTCCAAAAAGAATATTAAAAGCTAATTATTAAAAGATTCACATATTAAAAAAGTCACTAGTGGTGACACATGAGCATTGCATTTTTCATAATTAGTGACAAAGAAAGATGCCAACTTGACCACCACCAACTTTGGATCTAATCAAATTTTCACTTCATGCAAAATATATATATATATATATATATATATATATATAAATTGGGTTCACGTGAGACAAAATTGTTTTCATGATACATATAAGATAAATTTTTTACACTTGAACAAAATGTTGTGAAGGTAAAAACAAATATGAACTTTCACAACACCTTAAGAGCATTTTACTATCAAAATATATTTGTTTTTAGTTTCAAGATTTTGAAGAATAAAAAAAGGGTTTTTGATGATAAACACACATGTTGAATTATAGTAAAACAATAGCAATAAAATAATAAACATGTTCAATGTATTACTCTCCAGATTTGATTTGAGAAACCAAAACAAATTTCACTTCTGCATCTTTATGAACTTGGGTGTGATTCACATGTAATTCATAATTTTGTTGTGGGCCCCATAAAATACAAACAAATGTTAAGACCAAGGAAACAAAAGACATTCATTGATACACAAATAAGACAAAACCATAAAACGACCCCTTCATCTTCAGAGTGGTTGCAAGTTTTATGGGTGTAAAATGAAATTGTGAAGATAACTGATTTAGTGGGTACAGAAAAAAAAAAAACTATACGCTCAGATATCAAGAAATCTTGATACATCAAGTTACTTTGAATCAAGACTGATTTTTCAAATATAAATCCACAAATCTTGAAATTTTGATGGTATAATTATGAATGATGCAGAATATAATCATTCAGGACCTATTTGGTTTGTGAGATTTAGAATTAGATTTCATTTCAATCTTATGTTTGTTTGTTTTACAGAGGAAAGTTTAGAATTAAAATGCAACAAATATTGGATTTAGATATCGTACTTGGATGGTTAACATTTCACGTGATTTCGTTAAATTTGTTTGTAATAATGACTTAAAATATATCAAAAACATTTGTTTTTTTTTAATATATTAAAAACATTCATCTTTTGATAATCAATTAATAAAAGATAATTTGTTTTTGTAAATATCTATAAAAAAAAAAAAGAATTCAATTTCATTCAATTCAAATACATCAAAGATTTCAAATCCTTCTACAAAATCCAAATCTTTTAAAATCATTTCGTCAAATCAAACAAAAAAATCCATTTGGCATATATTTGACCACCATCGATGTGTCTGTCCTCAAGTGGGATTTTACCAAAATATCCCTCTTTGCATAACAAAACTCACATAACACAGAAAATTACATAAATAGTCGAAGATGATAGATGGTTTCATTTTTTAGTTATTTCTTGACGTAAATTCACTTTTAGCCAATCTTTATACAAATGACTTACGCATATGCGTAAGGATTGATTTTCAACAAAAAAAAAAAAAGAAGAGTCATTACACATATGCATAAAGATTCCGCTATATATAGGATTATAGTGAAATTTTTAAGCAGAAAACTTAGCATATGCACAAGGATTCTTTTCTTTTTTTTTTATGCCGAAAACCAATCCTTATGCATACGCGTAAACCTTCTGCGCAAGAATTAGTAAAAAAATGAATTTAGATCAGAAAATGACTAAAAAATAAAACCCTATCTACGGAGGAGCTATTTCTGCCATCATTTTCCCACTTTTAAAGACATGATGTGATATGCACTTTAGGCATAAAAAGATGTACTACAATCCATGCATCATAAACCATTGAAAACAATATCCATAACTACCACTTCCAATCTCTTAATCTAACAAAATATTCATTTAATTACACAACCTAAAAATAAAAAAAGAAACAGGGGAGCAATAATTTATACACAGACAACACCACCATAGAAATGAATGGGACCCATTTTAATTTATCACAATTATCAATCATACTGAAGATGTTACATCATCATCATCATAATCATACTGTCTTTTCTTGAATTTCTGTGGGTTTTTCTGTAAATTTTTTTCATGGGAAATTATGATATGATAATGTAGATAGAAGTAAAACACAGATAAAAATTTATTCAAGAAATCCAGTTTTGGTCAAAACAGCATTTCTTACCCTACTCAGATCTCTGCCTTTAAGTGTTCTTCCTGCACCTTCACACACAGAAAATGAAGAAATTTGACTTCTTGCAAGCTTCTGTGCAATCCATTCATGAGGAGGCATCATGTTTCCATTATCATCATCATCATCATCACTGTCCCAATTCTCTCTGCCATTATTACCACCACCACCATCATCACCATCATCATGCCATGCAGAGTTCTGTGATGGTCTCTTCGACTTTCCATAGATCTTTGACCAATCAGGAATGTTGACTGGTGCTGATTGTTGTTGAGGAACCTCAGGATTGTTGGACCTAGGAATCATTAAGGCTGCACTTGGAAAAGAAATAGATTTTGAAGTGAAACTAGAAGATGATCCTTTAAATTTTGAATCAAAACCTTTTCTTTCACTCAAAACAGACCAAATATCAGTTTCTTGAAATTCTTCACTTCCAACCATGGATGACCACCCACTGCTTCCTTTTCTGTACATACCATACTCACTTTCCATTCCTACAACCTTCATATTTCAAAACATACAGATTATATTCAGTAAAATCAGATTTAAAGACACTTCGTTTTCTAGAAAAACATAAAGATTCATCTTTTCTGGGCAAAAAAGCTCCCAATTCAAAAAATTCAGGCAGATTTAAAGACATTTTTTTCAAGAAAAACGTAACAATTCATCTTTTCTGGGCAAAAGAGCTCCCAATTCTACAACTTCAGGTAGATTTAAAGACATTTTTTCAAGAAAAACATAAAGATTCATCTTTTCTGAGCAAAAAAGCTCCAAATTCAGGTAGATTTAAAGACATTTTTTTAAGTAAAACGTAAAAGACTCGTCTTTTCTGGGCAAAAAAGCTCCAAAGGCTACAAATTTAGGGAGATTTAAGTACATTTTTTTAAGAAAAACACAAAGATTCATCTTTTCTGGGGAAAAATCTCCAAAGACTACAAATTCAGGTAGATTTAAAGACATTTTTTTTCAATAAAACATAAAGATTCACCTTTTCTGGGCAGAAAAAGCTCCAAGGAATACAAATTCAGGTAGATTCTCAGAAAGATTGCTGCACTTTGTGGGAAGAGTGGGTGTTTGAAAGATGATCTACCTTTTCTCTGTATTAAAATACAAGCTCCCAAAGGGGGTTTCAGTGGTAATGGAGTTCTTGAGAGTGTATTTTATAGGCTTTGCAAAAAGGAGAAAACTGAGCTCTCTAATGTTCACAATCACCAGTGCCCATGTTCTTTCTAGTTGTCATATGAAATGACTCAACTTTGATAAAGACTTCTTGTTGAATACCAGATGAAGTTCTTCTACAAGAGAAGTTAAAGAAACCCAAAGAGAACAGTTTTGATTTAGTATCTTAAAACAGACACGACATATTTCGTTTTCGCCTCCTCCTCGTACGCCTTTGTGAAGATGAAATTAGTGAAAATAAAGGGTATAAACTTGAACCCAAGTTTTGATGCCATTCATAGTTCTTTATAAGATTTGGGTACTCAATTATTGGACTTCAAAGGTAATATGTTTGATAGTTTTTTAAATGGTCCACTTGTTCCATATAAGTCCAATGCATCTGTATCATTTATGTTGCCTTTATGAATCTACTATCACAAACTTCTCTAAGACTATTTTATCATATACAAGACGAAAAGAGCAATAACAATAGTGTGTGTGTGTGTATATATATATATATATATATATATATATAGGGTTGGGTTCAAGGGAAAACCACAGAAAAATGAAAAACTAAGGAACCCCTTAATAACCATTCATTTGTTCGTTAAGCACATGTACATAAAAGTAATTTGTCCGGTATGTAGAATCCAGGATACATTATCAATTACTTTTATGCATGTATGCATGCCAGACAAATGAATGGTTATTAGAGTGTTCCTCAATTTTCCATTTTTTTGTGGTTTTCGTCAGAACCCACCCAATCCCATATCTATATACATATATATATATATATATATATATATATATATACATACACACACGTGTATATATATATATATATATATAAAGAGAGAGAGAGAGAGAGAAACATAGTTTTTCTACCCATGGCACATCTAGATTCATGATCTGGAGCAAAGAAACCAAGAAACATGTCAACTTTATCATGCTAATGCCAAAAAGGTGCTTGCTTTTCAAAACTGAAACTTTCTTTCATTGTGTATATATATATATATATATATGTGTGTGTGTGTATGGGTATGTATGTATAAAACATAGTTTTTCTACCCATGGAACATCTAGATTCATGATCCAAAATCAAGAAACCAAGAAATATGTAAACTTTATCATGCTTATGCTAAAAAGGTGCTTGCTTTACAAAACTAAAACCTTCTTTGATTGATGGTTTGATCAGTATGCAGATCAGATCAAAGAGAGAAACTTATAGGTAACTATCAAATAAGCTGAATAACATCAAATTAACCTTAATCAAACTGATGATTTCATGAAAACGATTGTCCTTTTAATTTGTCTGAAGCACTGCATCTGCCATTCAATGTATTAAGCCAGATAATACAGTGACAAGAGAATCTTGAGAACCTTAAAAAAATTAATGTTGTGCAGCAGACATTCGATGTATTTGGCCAGACAAACACAGTAACTACACCTTCAAAACCAATCAGCTTTGTGCCGTTATTCAAACAAATTTCAACCGTTCAAGATTACTTTTAGGAAAAAGAGAGAGTGATAATATAAACAAGGGAAAAAAGGAACATGTTTTGAACTTTATCGCGATTATAGTCCTAAATACAGTTGGCGGCTGCCGTCAAAGTACTAGGTGGGTCCCAAACCTTGATGTATATTAAGTTTATTCTAATGCTGAATCTTATATGAAAAGGGTCCCTTTAACACCTACCTTCTAGTTTGTAAAAGCAGTCAATGCTATATGCACATGTGCTTAACTTGTTTAAATTGCTTAAAAATAGCATCCAATTGAGTTGGGCATACTTCAACATACCTTTTCAATACCAGCATTTCTAGTTACAGTATCACAAGTCTCTGAATTCCTGAGAAAAAGGAAACTTTTGATACCAAAGAGTAACTTTTGCACCATTTTCTTGGCTTTTCATTGCAAACTAATCATCGTTCTTGTGAAAATGTTAAAAGAACACTATGGTTTGCAAGTATGAGCTATTTAAGATGAACGTTAGAGCTATAGATGTAAAACGAATCATCGCACTTGCATCTTGTATCCAAAACGGTCATTGTGTTTAGCAACAAAAAGACAAATTTGATACTTACAAAAGTCATTCACAGCTCAAACCAAGTTTTCATATGCATTCATGGGTTCGTTCCAAGATTCGCACGTGTGAAATATTTATTTGTATTTTTCTTTTTTTGGTTACATAAATTTGGAGTTTTAGGTGAACTTAATAGTCTTTTTAATAGCCCACTTGCTCTATAATAAAGTACAAAGCATGTTTATTTCTTATTCTGGCTTTACTATTCTGTTCCTAAACCATTGTTTTCATCTTCAACCCCATTATTTGGGACAATTTTGGTTGATTCTAAAAGCACGGATCAAAATCAAGGATAGCGACTGCAGAACCTAAGAAACATTCTTTGAGCGATAAAGCCAAAGGGGTAATGGTGGATTCAAGAGCAATGATAATAGTAGTTTGTTTGAATTCTAAACTAGTACTGGTTTACTGAATATATTCTTCACATAACCCAATAGGATGCTATTTTATGTCCAATTATGCACGCATTTTACCTGTTAGGGTGCGTTTGGTGTGCGGACAGGAAGGGATGTGACAAGAATCATGTTGGACATGGGACAATATCTAATTTTCATGGGACAAAACTTAACTTTCTTTGTTCCACCCGAAAAAGGTGGGAACAACATTGTACAGAACGCAAAATTACCATATCACCCCCCATAACCCCAACCTTTTCTTTAGAGGCAATTTGGTCATTATAACAGTTTAAGTCCAGTCCTGTTCTTAGCATACACAAACAAATAGTCCAGTCAAGTATAGTTTCATCCGTTCTGCGTATCAAATGCTACCTAAGGAGATGATCTTCAAAACCAATTGGTTCTTGCTGGAACAACATTGTACAAAACACAAAGTTACCATATTACCCCCATAACCCCAACCTTTTCTTTAGGGGCAATTTGGTCATTTTAACAGTTTTAGTCCAGTCCGGTTCTTAGAATACACAAACAATTAGTCCAGTCCACTCTAGTCTCATCCGGTCTGCGTATCAAATGCTACAAAGGAGATGATCTTCAAAACCAATCGCTTCTGGTTAGTTCTTTACTTAAACAAATTTCAACCCTCCAAGATTACCTCTAGAGAAGAGTATATAAGAATCCAGCTATAGGAAAACAGGAGGTCGTTTTGGAACTTACTGTGGCTTATGTTTTGTTCCAAAGTGTCAAGTCGGCAGCAGCCTTTGAAGAACGAAGCGGGTCCCACAGCTTTCTGAAAGTTAGCTACAGCATATGTCATAAGTCGATTCAAACAAGGATCTTATATATAAGAAGGTTCCTTAATGCACATAATTTATAGAGTTGATAGAAACACTCAAATGATATATTTATATATATATATAGAGAGAGAGAGAGAGAGAGAGAGTGTGTGTTAACACCCTGGTAACGGTTCATTTAGACGGTGTGCATACATGTATACAAGTAATTTTTAAGCAATTTGTTTGGTATGCTAATGTGTATATTTGTATAACATGCAAACGTGTATAAAAATTATGAAACAACTTCAGTTACTTGTATGAACATATGCATATGCCGTCTAGAAGAGTTCTTTTTGGTTTTCCCTGAACCTCCATCTCTCTCTCTCTCTCTATATATATATATACTTTGTAGCATAGTGTGCTTGATATGACTATATTACTTTCTAATATAAAATCAAGAAAGCAATGATGCAAGAAGCAGTACTTATAGTAGAAATTATTTCAAATTTCCCAATTTTGTAATGGGTTGGAGAAGTTCTGATTCATAAAGTTCAGTAAAAAGATGCAAAGTGATCAAACCAATACGATCGTCTTTCCAGATTATAAGCATTTCTACAGACCTTTCTGCAATTCAATTGCATTATCCGAGCTGCAAAGTGACCTTAAAATCGAACTGTTCGAATAGAGAGCCATTAATGGATCAAAAAATCGGAAAGTAACCTCGAAATTCAACTGTTTCAATAGAGATAATACATCAATGGATCAAAATGGGAATTGGGTGTTGCTCGAACTCCCTTTCGTAATGAATCACATGGATAGGTTTAATCAAAGAAAGAAAAGTGGAATGAAAAGCTGAAGTTTATCTTCTTAGCTAAAAAAACAACGAAAAGTGACGATCAACAATTTCTGCAATTAGGGTTTTGGTTTGATAAAATAAAAAAGATTTGCAGAAGCTTCTCCGAATATCAGAGCCAGGTTTCGATCCTGGGACCTGTGGGTTATGGGCCCACCACGCTTCCGCTGCGCCACTCTGATTCTTGTTAATGTATCAAGAACTAATTAATTTGGTTAGACAGCCATGAGCTGCAATTCACTTTGACCATTTTTCTGTTGTATGGATCATTTAGCAAACACTTATTTAAGAAGTGTTTATTGGGTCAATTTCTTACAAGGTAAGAATAATGATAATCAAGAATCTTAATTTGATGAGACTTAACAAAGACAATGATTTTTTATCTGATAAATGAAGATGATGACTCTTATCTGGTAAATGTTTATAAAAAGATAAATACTAACCAACAATCTATTTTGTTGGTCATGAATATTAACTGATAAGGTACAGAAGTTTAGTGAATCTTAGCGGTAAATACTTACTCGATAAACTTTTGGTAGATGGAAAGCGTTTGATAAACTGTCCTTACTTTACAAATCTTAGAATTATGTAAATTAAATTTACATGTAAGTGTGTTATAAAACCATCTAAGTTGACATAAATGGATACAATAATTGTAAAAAGTTCTAATTGAACATAAACATTTTCGTAATTTACCTATCTTATCTCATCTTTTTAGTTTTTGTTTCACCTATTTTGATAGAACAAAAAAATAAACTATATTTTTATCACATTCAGTCTCGGTCACATCAAACATGAGACAACCGGTTTTTCCAAGTCACGTGATGTATCATACCGTTACCGTATATGCCATATTTTTCCTCTTTTCTAATGTAAAGATTTCTCCATTCTCTATCCTTTTTTTATCTGTTTTAGAGAAGAATTTAACATACTTTTCTTAAATCTTGAAAATTTTTAAATAACCCAACATACATAAAAGTGTTATAGTACAGTGTATAAGCAAGATTCTACCAACTTTCCACTATCAACTATATCAATACCCACTACTAATTACGCAGATTTTTGCTCATTTGTGCTGCAAGCACCATTGACTTGGCGTTTGTACTTGTTGTCACCCAATCCCGCTCCGCCCGTCGTTGTCGCTGTCTAGCATTTTTGGCTCGTTTTGGCGCCAATCTAGCATCTCTTTCCACAAATGCAAGTCTAAATCTTTCAGCAATTGGCAACTCAATTGTGCTCAAAACGGGCGGGTTTGTCCTGAGCCTGGATCCTGGAACTGCCCAACTTTTTGAATCGATGTCTTCCACAACAAACTCATCCAATGCTACACTGGCTAGTGCATGTTGGGGAATATCAATCCCTTTGTGCCCAAAGAGCGATGGTTTGGGATTCACTATAATTCGGGGGCATTCTGTTGACAAACTCTCCAAGGAATCTTTGTCGATTTTTGGCTGCAAGAAGAATAAGCAATTAAGCATACAGAACAAAAGCATGATCCACCAAGGGAGAATTGCATAAATGATACCAATAATCAATTCTCGAACCCATGTTTTGAAGGAAAAATAACTTCTTCTAAGAGTGTGTTTATTATACTGGACAGGACATAATAGGGTTTGGCAGGATTTTCATGTAGTGAATCCCAATAGAATAAGATGGAACGAACCTATATTTTACCAATATAACCTCAAAATAAAACCTAATTTTATTCTAAAACATCAAATATGTCTTCCTCTTTACATTTTATTTATTCTTTAAATTTTATTTATCGTATTTTATGTTCTTTAAAATTTCATTTTACTATCCTCAAAATATTAATTTTATACGATTTCTATATTTTGATTACATTTATGTAATTTATAAAATATTAATAATAAAAATAACATACAAAAGGTATAAAATAAAAAATGAAAACTACATAAACTTTTTATTTTTTGTGTCATTATAATCTGTCTTCACAAAAACTTTCTAATGATATATCTAATTATAAAAATATTTAATTTATTATAATTTAAAAATTTTAATAAGTTAATTAAAATATATAAACAACTCATTAAGGGTATATTGGTCATTTTATATGTTTTGTCATGTCTAGTTTTGTCTTGGCAAATGCTCAATAGTTGTTTTGTCTTGTCCTGTTATATCAAACGCACCTAAAGGAAAAGAAAGGAAGGAGAGGGAAATGGGGAAACAAAAACCCATGTGTTCTCTAAACTTTTTAGGAGGTAAAGAAAAAGAATTGGAGGGAGAATACCATTTATGTCCATGTGGGAAGAAATGGAGGCAAAGAAAATATAAAAGTATACAAAAATACCTTCACAAGAAAAAGCGAGAAAAACGAAAATAAAGGGTATAATTGTAAAAATGACGTCTTTCCTTTCTTCTCTTTGGTTCAAGAAGAAGAAAATTCGTTTCCTTTCCATTCCTTCCCTTCTCTTTCAAAAACCCATATAAAAAACTTTTTTCCTCTCCATTCTTTTCCTTCTCTTTCCTTTCTTTTCTTTTCTTCCCAAATTCAAGAACAGGGTGTTAAAGAACATTTGGAGAGGTATTGTGTTTGCATATGCATACCCATACAAGCCAGCGTAATGACTGTGCTCCATCGACGATCTCTGTGGTATCAAGTTCCTCCCATGAATCCCCTTCGACATCATTCAATGTCGGTTTCAAGATGCTTAAAGAGCTGCGTGCAGTGTGTTCACTCCTTGGGCATCCTCTGCAATATTAACTGTGATCATGGCCTGTTATGATGTATAATAAACCCCCTATATTGGGTTGTTCATCTAGTGGGATATAAGACATCAATTTTCCACGTATATGAAAAGAGAAGACATAAAAAACGTACCCCCATCTCAATATCTCAAGACAATGACAATGCTTCACAATTTCTGAAACACCAAATGAAGTGATCTTGTTGCAACGACTGCATAAGAAGATTGTATGAATGCAAAGCCAGAAGCAATTCGTCAAAAATTATAGCATAGCCTTGTGCATCCACCCAAACCAGTAATGTTATTTTACCTTATGTCCATAGCTCTCACATTATTGCAAATCTTTATAACTTTCAACAAGCCAATATCAGAGACTTCTGAATCTGATAAATCAAGAATTTCCCAGGAGCTCTCTGCCAATGCAACGATCACATCATCATTTAGCAACTTTCTTCTTCTTGCAATGGCTGTCATGGCCATCTGATAAGTTGATTATTGATTTGGGAGAATTTAGACTAAACGTTTCTTGGGGAAGAGTAAAGAATGTCAATTATACCAAAAATGATACATATTGAAACAATAAACCAGCCAATGTGTGCATTCCAACAAACTGAATAAAAAATCCAACCCTGAACTTCTACCCACAACTGAGATCCCAATTACGAAATAGACCTGAATCATGACATTTATTACAAGTTGCGCAGAATTACCCAAACAATTGAGCAACTCTAAACTGACCTCTACAAACGTTGACAGAAGGAACTCAACTGAGTCCAAACAACTATGCATACTACATGACTTCATCTTTGCCTAGCATCATTCCAATTATAATGAGGGAGGTCAAGGTGATCTGCTAATTGTATGAAAAAATCAAAGAAGGCAGACTGCCAAGGACTAGATTAAATTAATAAGCTCCACAATAAAAACCTAAAAGAGTCCTAATATATGTATCATCACTATAATGCAAATTGATTATTCTTGTCTTGATAAAAACATAATAGAACACTGAGATCTCAGGCATCTCAAGATGCAAACACTGCACAAATATCAGTTAAGTGTGCAATAATCATAATAACACGACTAGAATACCAACCTTAATGTCCGGAGGGAAACTGGTCAGTACCTCTAAATCCTCGATAATATCCTCAAGGTGCTTGCCTATGATTCCAAGACACAAGCTTACGAGAGCAGGAGGTCTTCTCTTTCCTAAAGGTGACCCTGTAACACCATTGATTACTGTTAATGTAATGCTTGCTTCCTTGTCTAATGATTCTATAACAATATTCAGCTAGCATGTCATTTTCATCAACAAATTACAAGACCTCCAGATAATTAAACTAGAACAACATCATATAGCTTACAATCTCACATGTATACACAATTAGAACACGATAAAATCAGATAGAAACTCACAGGATGATTGCAGCCAAGGGTTACAATTCCTAGCAAACTTGTTAGGGTTCTTGCGATTGAAATTCAAATCAATATTCCGAAGGGATGTCTGAATGGATTCCAGAGCCTTGCCTTGATCCATCAAATGGTGTAACAAAAAAGAGATCGCCTGAAAGTCGAATCGGAGAGATTTCCGAATGCCGATAGATATTCGATGGATTCTATTTGCTGTTTCCCGACCACCGCCTTTTTCACTTTTATGTTTGTGTTGACCGAGACCGACCTTCTATAAGTTGTAAAATTCCATATCACTCCTTCAGGTTTCCGTATTATCATTTTAACCCCTGTTTATTTTAATTACAATACAGGTTAACAGATGTTTGAATGGTTTTTGTTTTAAACAGTTTGGATGCAGGAAACAATTAAAAGGCTGGAGAAATTGTGTCGAGCCTACAGTTTGATAAACACTTATAAATATGCAGTATTCTTCCTTGTAAAAGCAACAATAACAAATACTGCAATCCAGTTACGACACCGACGAGTTACGTGTCTCGAGAGGTGCTCGCTGAAAGTGGTTGATGAATCTGGTGTTTGTTTCTTCCCTCGAACTACTTTTAATTTTGCATTTTTTAGTGTGAAATCATTTTTAAAATGAGATCTTGTGTCAAGCAACCTTTCCCTCTAGCAAAAATTTCACTACCAATCGAATATTTATTAAAAAAAACCGATACTTTATAATTCTACTTTCATCAAATCAACGCAAATTGCTAAAAGTAATTAGTTTTTGTGGTAATTTGCCTATTTTTTGGACTTTTAGATTTGTTTGGTGAAATGGTCCAGAATTGAATATTTTTGCTAATGAAATGGGTTGTTAATTAAAATGTGGTGAATTTATTGAAAACCCAACCTATCGATGAACATGTATCTCTGATTTATATTATGGTTTGAACAAGTGTCAAATCAATATATTCAATCAAATAAACTCCTTTAATCCATATCCGAGATATAGGTAACCCGACTCAATACTTGCACACATGAATATTGATTTACCGCCGTAGAAATAATCTGCCTCTTTGTATATAAATCATTTTCATGTCCTTGTTTTCCTTGTCCCATTCTTCGATCTTTCTTAGAGGTAAGTTGGAGGGTAATAGCGTGATCGTAGGTAAGTTTTCTACAATTTGGAGATTGTTTCTTGTCTTTACATCTTTTTGTACGTGATTTCTTGATTTGTGTTCGAGAAATATGTGAATGAACAACTCTTAAATTGTTTAATAGTTTGTTGACATCTTAAAAAAGGAGGTTGGTTTGACCGATTAGTATTCAAAATATTTGTTTATACGACAATTTTGTTCTTTCATCAAACTGTTTCAAAATTTGAAACGAATGAGGTTTGATTTCGTTTCACCGTAAATTTTTTTTATGGATCAATAAATGGTTGGAATTTGTATGGCGTTGTTTTGATTCCAACACTTTTTAAAATCTTCACATGCAGGGGAAGACCATTTGATCGGATCCAACATAATTTTTTGTTGTACTTCCTTTTAGATATTTGGAATTGGAGGATATTGAACCTTTCTTTTTCTTTTTCTTTTTCTTTTTCTTTTTCTTCTAGTGAATAAGCATCCCGAGCCCATTTTTCATTCAAACAAGTTCATGGTTGACATACAAGTCCAAATTCCATGTGCTTTTGATCCATTTATCGACATCAAGCAAGATCCGGATTGTGGTGTTGGAGGGAAGCAATACGTGCATATACGCATACAACAAAGGAATGGCAAGAAAAGCTTGACGACGATTCAAGGGCTAAAGAAGGGAGTTAGTTACGAAAAAATCCTCAAGGATCTGAAGAAAGAGTTTTGTTGCAATGGGACCATCGTTCAAGATAAAGAACTAGGCAAGGTGATTCAGCTCCAAGGCGATCAACGCAAGAACGCATTCGCATTCTTGACCCGTGTTGGCGTGGTGAGTAGGGACCAGATCAAGATTCATGGCTTTTGAAGCTACTAATCACTTTGTAATGCATCAATTATTGGTTTTGCTTTCTTGTTGAAGTTTTTGCCGATGTATTTTCCCATCTGGCTTTCTGTTCATATGTATCCTGGATTATACGATTCTAGGATTCAATTAAAATGAATAAAAGTTTGCTTTTGTAAATAACGATGATAGTCGTTTATGGTGGTCTTAAAAGTGAAATGCGTCTAATTAACCTTTAAAGAAAATAAATTTTTTTATAGAAAAAACATTTTTTTATGTAAAATGAAAACACTACTTGAAAGCAAACCAATGCCAGCAAAAGAAAGACAGATCTTAAACAAGATCATTAAATATTCGTGTCTATCAATTCAACAAGTCCTCATAATGCAACAATGGCCCCAAGGTCATAAATTCATTACTATTCATTGTTGTTTGTTGATTTTGTTAAATTAATTGTCAGATATTATTAAATTTTAATGATATACATGTAGGAGTTGAACTTAACAATAAAAACAACATAAGTTAACGGATTCCAACAATATAAATCCTTAAAACTTGATAATTAGGTCAATAAGATGCTACCTAAATTTGTTTCGCTTTGAAACGGTTTTGGGTCGCACGTCTTGGCCGGAATGCATATACGTTTGCAGGTTTGAATCCCTCATCGCCTTGACTCGTTCCCCGTGAATTTTTTTTACTATTAAGGACTTACAATTTAGAGTCATGTTCAAATGAGAACGGTACATATTTAAGAGAATAAGAGAACGGTCGAATCACATGTGATTTTACACCAATATCACGTACAAAATCACATGTGATTCATGCGACCTTGTCCTGCGACTTGAATACGCGGCCATAGGGTCGCCTGCATACTTTTTTCGTCGTTAATGTAAAATCACATGTGATTTTACACGTGATTTGACTGTTTTCGTATTCTTCTAAATAGTTAGCATTCTCGTTTGATTCTTCCTTTTATAATTTATCCCCATGAATTTTAAACCCCTTATTTCCTTAGCCTTTATTTTTACTTAGAGTAAATTACAAATTTCGTCCCTATGGCCCAATTAAAATATTGGATTGGGTCCCTCAAACAAAATAATTACATGTATGGTTATTTGATTTCAGTTTTGTTATGGATTAGGTCCCTTGTCTTAACTCCACTAACTGGTACCCTGTTAAGTCAAGGGTATTATCGTGTTTTTATATTTCATCAAATAATTTATTTTAATGGTACAATTTTGGAAGTCAATGGTACAGTCTTTAAACACTTCAAAGAAAGAAAAAGAAAAAAACTAAGACACTCTACACCACCGATGCCTCTTCCCAGCCCTAAAAAATATCTCCGTTCATCTTCTCCAATTAAGATCTCCGGTGAAGTGTTTATCATAAAATATTTACCCCAAAACTTATCCTAAATCTATTAAAAGAACTTGAAAACGAAAGATTTATATGGAGCCAATAAAACTCATTACGCAAAGGAAATCTCTCGTTACAAATAGGATTTCTATTTCAAAGGCCAAATAATATCCCCTTGACATAGAGGAAATATCCAATTTCAAAACCCGGGAAGAAGATTAAAGAAGGTATCATGTATGTGTTCAAGATCCCACCATTGCACCATACAAAAAGGAAAACCCATCACATACATGGTTTTCCTTTTTTCATCTAAAACAACAAAAATGTTTTTTTTTTTCTTCATGTCATCGTCACCACAAATTTCCAGTCAAGACCATCGCTTCAAACAACTTGGTCCTTGCTTGTCTTCATCTATGGATTGCAGTTAGGTGAAAACAATCTAGTCCTCACCATCGCCATGGCCGTCGGTATCCACCACCATATTTCCTCCCTCTGCTTCGATTGAACAACAACTTGTTGTCGGTTTTGATGTTTTATGTTGGATGTTGCTATGAGTACGAATAGGGAATACATATAAACTGATTTTGCTATTATTGTTTGCTGAAGGGTAATATGGCGGTGAAGTTGGGTAGGAAGGGAGGTGGGAGAGGAAAGGGGGCAGGACAATGATGTGGAAGGAGGAAAGGAGGGAGATCAGAGAAAAGGGAACAGTGACCGTCGGCTGACAGGAAAGGGGAAGTTCACCGTCATACAAGTGGGGGGTCTGCATATATATATTCATACTATATAATTTTTTATTTTTTAAAAGAAAATGGAAAAAATGTAAAAGAAACCTTGATACCATGACTTAAACGACTAAAGTTGATAGAGTTAAGGTAAGGAACACAATCCATAATAAAAATGAAACCATGATAACTGTACATACAAGTATTTCATATGGAGGACTCAATCCATAATTGATTAATTTCGATACAACCATAATGACCAAATCTGTAATTTAAGGGCTGTTTACCAAACACTTACCCGGTAAGTGCTTACCGGTTAAATTTAACACTATTATTTACTTCGGGTAATATTTTAGTCCATCAAAACGACATTGTATGCAACAATTCACCTGGTAAGCGCTTACCATGGTAAGACCGGGTAAGACTCATGGTCCTTGTCTCGCTCTTACCAGGTAAGATTTTTAGTTATTACCATATTCATTCAGTAAGGTAATGTAACTTGGTAAACGCTTACCTGGATAAATGTTTGGTAAACGGCTCCTTACTCTTTTACTTGATATTATCAAATTTAGGCGATGGCGGTTTTAAAATTTTAATATTTTACCTTTTGAAATTTACCAAACAGCCACAGAACTTACAAAATCCAAATTTTCATTATCGTTCTGAAAATTATTCAATGGTCCCTTCACATTTCAAAATTAATTTTTAGTCCTTATAAATGTAAATTTTTATATTTTAACCACTATTTTGACTTAATATCACAATTGGGTCCTAATAAACTATGTAAAACACATATTAACCCATTATTGGTTAAAGATTTCTAGAATTTATGCTTTTGATCCTACTTTGAGAACTTCACTACATTTTGTTCATCAAAATGCAACGATACACATTGTTTCCTAATTTGAAAGATTTGATTACATATTAGAGGCCAAACAAGTAATACTTACTGGATATTTAAACAATCGATTTGAAACATATCAGGATAAATGTTTATTATCAATGATTTATAATCGTGTTAGTAGGTTATTTTAAACAAGATTTCTAAGATTGATACTTGGGTTATATTTTATGTGATAATTTTCCAGGTTGCATGCAATACATTTATTTATATTGCAATTATAGTTTTGGCATCCAATGCTTAAATATTATTTATGAAGATTCGATACACAATCAAATATGTGATACAGTCGAAATGCATGAATATAAATCTACTTGCCCATGGTGATACGTTGCATTGTTGACTTTTATGGTGGAATTGGAGTTATCCCGAGATTATTGTAGTGGTCTCATGAGGATTTGTATAGAAACATAACAAGTGGGTATTGGCAGGCTTGTAGTAAAAGCATGAAAAATGGATTGGATTGTGTGATGTGAAAGAAACGAATTATGCAAGTGCAGTATACTTACAAGATAACCATTGTGCATAGTCAGCCTGTAACACCCCCATTCCGAAGGAAGGGAGGTTACTTCAAAACGTAACGGAACGCTATATAAAACCTCCAAAATATAGTCTCCAATACAAAATAAAATCTTCCATAACGAAATTGAATATAACCTCAAATAAGATATATAGGTCTCCAAACAAACTATTTCCAAGAAAAGCTAAAAGCAACCAAAGAAATCTAATCTAATAGCCAAAAGAAAAAGATTCTAATAAGCAAAATAACATAGTTCTAAACCTCTCGAAACCTTGAAACCAAGATCCTGGTCTACTCTCTGTCACAAGACTTAGCCGCCCCCTTGATTACCTGCCGTGAGGAATAGAAGAAAACACGGCTGAGCCAAATGCCCAGTGAACGGATAAACAGATATAGAAAAAAACGGTATTACAAACATGCCAAAATCGAACCAAACGAGTACCAGAATCTTAGAAAATCAACAAATAACATAATCATACGAAATCATAAGAAGGGACACATCGAGCTCGAAAACGCATACACTTGCATATTAACTAACATGACAAGTGTCAGACATATGGCCACACAGGCCTGTACGTTGGACTGCAGATCCACACGTACCAAATGTGAGATRTGGCGTTGGACACTACACCGACATCCACCCTACAAACGAATCACATATGCTAGGGCCGACCCATACGCCTCCTAAATCGAATATCCATCACACCAAAATAGCTCTCACAAGAGCACCAAAAGAGGAGACGCCGTGGAYTGATCACACTGCCACGGTTAGTGTCACGCCATCGGTGCCACAATGACGTGCCTATGGTACCCCCATAGGTGGTTAGCAGCTCGAGTTACCCAGAGTTGAGTTGTCACAACGAATGTGACGTTAAACGTCTTACATATTGTCAATAAATAACGAAATCAAACGAAAAGTCAAACATAAGTCAAGTACGGAATTATGTTGAATAAACAAGTAGTCGTAATATAAAGAGGCTCAATTCGAAGAATACATAATCRATCAAAAGTACCAACATATGTAGTTTTAGGGGTAAAAARCATACCAAAATGTTACCGAACCAATAAACGTGTACTAACTCGAATAACTCAAATAGCATGATTAGGACAAGACGCCCTTGCCATATATATATATATATATATATATATATACATACATGACGTTGAACAAATACAATTGAATGGTAGATGCAGTAACGAACAATTTGGTAGAATATGAGCTAAAAGAGACTCACGAGTTCATAAACATATTTAAACGAGCTAACTGCACAAAAAGGTTTAGGAATCCGTACCTTAAACTTCACAAAAATTATCGATTCCCCAAGTTTATTCCTTTATATATGCCCTAAACAAACACCCAAACCTACTATTAATCCTAATTGATAACTTAATGGCAAAACGAAACTAAATCCCTTAACGACTAATAAAGTAACTAAACTCAACTAAATCCTATCAATA